ACCAAAAAATCGGTGTCGAGATTTGAATGCCACATTAATCTAGAGGGAAAACCATGAAGAAAAATGCAAACTTCGTGAAAATCTGATGAGATTTGACCGAGTTATGGGGGTGGTAATTTTTGACCCATGTCAATATACGAATCTTGGGGTAAGATTTGGACATGAATTTCGACCAAAAAATCGGTGTCGAGATTTGAATGCCACATTAATCAAGAGGGAAAACCATGAAGAAAAATGCAAACTTCGTGAAAATCGGATGAGATTTGGCCGAGATATGGGGGTGGTAATTTTTGACCCACGTCTATATACGAATCTTGCGGTAAGATTTGGACATGAATTTCGACCAAAAAATTGGTGTCGAGATTTGAATGCCAGATTAATGTAGAGGGAAAACCATGAAGAAAAATGCAAACTTCGTGAAAATCGGATGAGATTTGGCCGAGATATGGAGGTGGTAATTTTTGACCCATGTCTATATACGAATCTTGGGGTAAGATTTGGACATGAATTTCGACCAAAAATCGGTGTTCAGATTTGAATGCCACATGAATCTAGAGGGAAAACCATGAAGAAAAAGCCAAACTTCGTGAAAATCGGATGAGATTTGGCCGAGATATGGGGGTGGTAATTTTTTACCCATGTCTATATAAGAATCTTGAGGTAAGATTTGGACATGAATTTCGACCAAAAAATCGGTGTCGAGATTTGAATGCCAGATTAATGTAGAGGGAAACCCATGAAGAAAAATGCAAACTTCGTGAAAATCGGATGAGATTTGGCCGAGATATGGAGGTGGTAATTTTTGACCCATGTCTATATACGAATCTTGGGGTAAGATTTGGACATGAATTTCGACCAAAAAATCGGTGTTCAGATTTGAATGCCAGATTAATCTAGAGGGAAAACCATGAAGAAAAATGCAAACTTCGTGAAAATCGGATGAGATTTGACCGACATATGGGGGTGGTAATTTTTGACCCATGTCTATATACGAATCTTGAGGTAAGATTTGGACATGAATTTCGACCAAAAAATCGGTGTCGAGATTTGAATGCCAGATTAATGTAGAGGGAAAACCATGAAGAGAAAGCCAAACTTCGCGAAAATCGGATGAGATTTGACCGAGTTATGGGGGTGGTAATTTTTGACCCACGTCTATATACGAATCTTGAGGTAAGATTTGGACATGAATTTCGACCAAAAAATCGGTGTCGAGATTTGAATGCAAGATTAATGTAGAGGAAAAACCATGAAGAAAAATGCAAACTTCGTGAAAATCGGATGATATTTGGCCGAGATATGGAGGTGGTAATTTTTGACCCATGTCTACATACGAATCTTGAGGTAAGATTTGAACATGAATTTCGACCAAAAAATCGGTGTCGAGATTTGAATGCCAGATTAATGTAGAGGGAAAACCATGAAGAAAAATGCAAACTTCGTGAAAATCGGATGAGATTTGACCGAGTTATGGGGGTGGTAATTTTTGACCCATGTCTACATACGAATCTTGAGGTAAGATTTGAACATGAATTTCGACCAAAAAATCGGTGTCGAGATTTGAATGCCAGATTAATGTAGAGGGAAAACCATGAAGAGAAAGCCAAACTTCGTGAAAATCGGATGAGATTTGACCGAGTTATGGGGGTGGTAATTTTTGACCCATGTCTACATACGAATCTTGAGGTAAGATTTGAACATGAATTTCGACCAAAAAATCGGTGTCGAGATTTGAATGCCAGATTAATGTAGAGGGAAAACCATGAAGAGAAAGCCAAACTTCGTGAAAATCGGATGAGATTTGACCGAGTTATGGGGGTGGTAATTTTTGACCCATCTATATATACGAATATTGAGGTAAGATTTGGACATGAATTTCGACCAAAAAATTGGTGTCGAGATTTGAATGCCAGATTAATCTAGAGGGAAAACCATGAAGAGAAAGCCAAACTTCGTGAAAATCGGATGAGATTTGATCGAGTTATGGGGGTGGTAATTTTTGACCCATGTCTACATACGAATCTTGAGGTAAGATTTGAACATGAATTTCGACCAAAAAATCGGTGTCGAGATTTGAATGCCACATTAATCTAGAGGGAAAACCATGAAGAAAAATGCAAACTTCGTGAAAATCGGATGAGATTTGACCGAGTTATGGGGATGGTAATTTTTGACCCATGTATATATACGAATCTTGAGGTAAGATTTGGACATGAATTTCGACCAAAAAATCGGTGTCGAGATTTGAATGCCAGATTAATCTAGAGGGAAAACAATGAAGAAACAGCCAAAGTTCGTGAAAATCGGATGAGATTTGACCGAGTTATGGGGGTGGTAATTTTTGACCCATGTCTATATACGAATCTTGGGGTAAGATTTGGACATGAATTTCGACCAAAAAATCGGTGTCGAGATTTGAATGCCAGATTAATGTAGAGGGAAAACCATGAAGAAAAAATGCAAACTTCGTGAAAATCGGATGAGATTTGGCCGAGATATGGAGGTGGTAATTTTTGACCCATGTCTATATACGAATCTTGGGGTAAGATTTGGACATGAATTTCGACCAAAAAATCGGTGTTCAGATTTGAATGCCAGATTAATCAAGATTGAAAACCATGAAGAAACAGCCAAACTTCGTGAAAATCGGATGAGATTTGACCGAGTTATGGTAATTTTTGACCCATGTCAATATACGAATCTTGGGGTAAGATTTGGACATGAAATTCAACCAAAAAATCGATGTTCAGATTTGAATGCCAGATTTGGACATGTATTTCGACCAAAAAATCGATGTTCAGATTTGAATGCCAGATTAATCTAGAGGGAAAACCATGAAGAAAAAGCCAAACTTCGTGAAAATCGGATGAGATTTGGCCGAGATATGAAGGTGGTAATTTTTGACCCATGTCTATATACGAATCTTGGGGTAAGATTTGGACATGAATTTCGACCAAAAAATCGGTGTCGAGATTTGAATGCCACATTAATCTAGAGGGAAAACCACGAAGAAAAAGCCAAACTTCGTGAAAATCGGATGAGATTTGGCCGAGATATGGGGGTGGTAATTTTTGACCCATGTCTATATACGAATCTTGAGGTAAGATTTGGATATGAATTTCGACCAAAAAATCGGTGTCGAGATTTTAATGCCAGATTAATCTAGAGGGAAAACCATGAAGAAAAATGCAAACTTCGTGTAAATCGGATGAGATTTGACCGAGTTATGGTAATTTTTGACCCATGTCTATATACGAATCTTGGGGTAAGATTTGGACATGAATTTCGACCAATAAATCGGTGTTCAGATTTGAATACCAGATTAATCTAGAGGGAAAACCATGAAGAAAAATGCAAACTTCGTGAAAATCGGATGAGATTTGGCCGAGATATGGGGTTGGTAAATTTTGACCCATGTCTACATACGAATCTTGAGGTAAGATTTGAACATGAATTTCGACCAAAAAATCGGTGTCGAGATTTGAATGCCAGATTAATCTAGAGGGAAAACCATGAAGAATAATGCAAGCTTCGTGAAAATCGGATGAGATTTGGCCGAGATATGGGGTTGGTAAATTTTGACCCATGTCTACATACGAATCTTGAGGTAAGATTTGAACATGAATTTCGACCAAAAAATCGGTGTCGAGATTTGAATGCCAGATTAATCTAGAGGGAAAACCATGAAGAAAAAAGCCAAACTTCGTGAAAATCGGATGAGATTTGACCGAGTTATGGGGGTGGTAATTTTTGACCCATGTCAATATACGAATCTTGGGGTAAGATTTGGACATGAATTTCGACCAAAAAATCGGTGTCGAGATTTGAATGCCACATTTATCTAGAGGGAAAACCACGAAGAAAAATGCAAACTTCGTGAAAATCGGATGAGATTTGACCGAGTTATGGTAATTTTTGACCCATGTCTATATACGAATCTTGGGGTAAGATTTGGACATGAATTTCGACCATAAAATCGGTGTTCAGATTTGAATGCCACATTAATCTAGAGGAAAAACCATGATGAAAAATGCATGCTTCGTGAAAATCGGATGAGATTTGGCCGAGATATGGAGGTGGTAATTTTTGACCCATGTCTATATACGAATCTTGGGGTAAGATTTGGACATGAATTTCGACCAAAAAAACGGTGTTCAGATTTGAATGCCAGATTAATCTAGAGGGAAAACCATAAAGATCAAGTAAGAGGTTCTAGTCGGGAGCTCCCGACTAGGGGATACCCTGAACCCTCTTCTTCCAACATCAAATGTATATATATATATTCTATTTTAGAAGCTATATGTCAAGTTTGGTTACTTTAGCTCTTATTATTTACCAAAATTACCTAAAGAACAGGATATCGATATCGATTTTTATCGATTGCTTGGAAACGGAGTAAGTTATCGATTATCGGAAACAAACTCGATTTGCGCGGGAACTAGGAGCACCTACATCTAAAATCTTATAGGTTCTGAGATCCTTTGACTCATACATACGGACGGACGGACGGACAGGCAGACGGACATGGCTAGATCGACTCGGCTATTGATGCTGATCAAGAATGTATATACTTTATGGGGTCGGAGATGCGTCCTTCTGCCTCTTACATAAATTTGGATTTTACACAAATACAATATACCCTTATACCCATTTTTAATGGGTTCAGGGTATAAAAATACGAATCGGTGTCAAGTTTCATCAAGATAGGAAAATATTCTGTTTTCACAGATATTTCAACAAACGCAGCATTTCCGAGCTGCACTATTCTCACATATCTGCAAAGGCTTTAAATTTTCGGCATGCCGAAAATTTTGTTACTTCCTCGTTTTAACTTGATTTTCGATTGCGCTCGTCGAGTCGACCCACTCAATGTGTTGTCTGCAACTCGAACAGCTTTGAGTCATTACTCGCTCGACAAACATTTGTTCGCATATCCAAAACGCATTTCAGTTGCCTCCATGCATGGCTATGTTTTTTAATATTATCTCACTAGTATTATAACACACACAGACGATTCTCAGTAAAATCTATCAAATCTAAATTATAAAATTGTTTTTCATGAAGTTAAGACATACCGCTAACTCAAAGCGTTAAATGACTAGTAATTAAGTAAATAAACAAATTATACAAAGTGAGATGCGATGCAAGTGCCAGAAGTGCAGCGGTACTCTGGGAAGTTCTGGGAAATCCCTGTTCGTGTCAAAGGTACACAGCAAGTGTAAATGCAGAAGGTGTTTGATATATAAATAACACAATGTTGGAAGTGGACAAAATCCTGGAAAAATGCGGCAGTTTTGGTCGACTGCAGCTGATCATAGTAATACTCACTAGTCTGCTCAATGTGATCTTGTCTCTGCATTACGAATCTGAAGAAATTATCTTTTTTGTGCCAAGACATTGGTATGTATAAGCATATTTATAACATGGCACATACTTAACGCCTTAACGCGCAGGTGTGCTGATGGCCTAGCCTCGGGGTCAGCGCCACCAAATACATCCAGCTGCAAGCCACTGTACTCTAATTTGACTATCCATAGCAGCTGCCATAAGTACAAATATGAGACATACATGGACTTTCAGAGTTTTGTCAGCGAAACGAACTGGATATGCAAAAATGGTTGGAGAATGAACGTGGGAGGCTCACTGTATACTGTGAGTTCCTTGTTAGGCACTCTTGTTCTCGGCTATATGGGGGACAAAGTGGGTCGGCTTCCTGCTCTTATTTTGGCCAATCTCATTTCAATGAGTGGCAACTTTTTAACAATCTTTGGTACCAATCTGTTCACTTTTTGTTTATTTCGACTTATTAACGGCTTCGCCACTGACACCAACTATGCAATGATGTACATTCTGCGTGAGTAGAGGGATAATGGCTTTACTTTTTATTTAATGTAATTCACAATCACTTAGCAGTTTTGGAATATATACGTCCTTCTTTGCGCACAATTTGCCTGACTATCACTGTCGGCATATTTTACTGCTTGGGCGCGATAAGTTCACCCTGGGTGGGGCTGCTATTGGGCACCTGGCGTAGCTTCCTGCTTGTCAGCTCGCTGCCATTAATATTAGTGCCCTTTTTTTATTGCATTGTACCGGAAAGCGTAGAATGGCTGATCTCAAGGCGAAACTATAACAAGGCTGTAGCGTCCCTGAGGCGTGTGGCCAAAATTAATGGTGTCCAAATTGAAGACAGCGTTTATGAGGAATTCATCGCGAACTGCAAATTAGTTCAGCAAAATACGAAGATCGACCCGAATCTGCTGGACCTCTTCAGGACGCCGCGCCTGCGCCGCATCGTTTTAATATTGGCGTTCGACATGTAAGTAGAGAGTTGACTCACTAACTCGCAGCAATATGTTGTTTTTACACCCTCATCCGCCTGCCTACTTAGGGCCGTCATTTCTTATTGCCACTTTATCGCCATACGTAAACTAAATAGAAATTGGTTTTCGCATTTTGTTTGGAACTCGATTCAATATACCATGATTCTGCCATCTTGGCTGATAGCCTTAGCTTTTCAAGATATCATCGGACGCAAGGCATTGACTTCCACATCGCTAATCTGCTGTTGCCTTTTTATCTCGATAACGAACATCGTTCTATTGGATGGAGCTTCCGACACTAATCGCAGTAAGTCTAAGGTATTTAATCATAGTCAATAGCTTTAAAACTAAGAGACTAGTTCGCATAGAAACAGACAGCCAGACAGACAGACAGACAGACATGGCTATATCGACTCGGCTGTTGAAACTGATCAAGAATATGTATACTTCATGGGGTCGGAGAAGCCTCCTTCTATGCGTTACACATTTCGATACTAAATTATGATACCCTGTGCAAGGGTTAAAATTTTACCTTTACCTTTGAACATTTTTGTTAGTTTTATTTTTTCATTTTTTGTTATTGTGCACTTTGTACACTTTCTGTACACTTTCCACAGTCACCACCTTACAGCTGATGTTCTTATTGACTGGGATTTGTTTTTGTAACGTTGCCTTTAACACGACCTGTTTGTACGCTGTGGAGCTGTTGCCAACATGTCTGCGTGGCCAGGGAGATGCCGCTGTAGATACTTTTGCCAGAGTGATCCAATTGATATGTGCATTTTTTTTTAACATGAGCAGTATTTCCTCGCCGCTGCCGGAAATCATTTTGGCCGTGCTCACTTCGCTGGCCGCCTGCTTATGCCTGCTGCTGCCAGAGACAACTAATCACACGCTGCCCAGTTCACTGGAGGATAGCGAGGAGCTTGGAATTGACGAGCACTGGTACACATTTCCGTGCATAAAAAAGGGCATGTAGTCGGTAACAAGACGCGTCTGCTTTATTAACTAATTACTTCGTTATTTGAAATGGAAGGGCTTGATGACTTCTCGGCTCTATGAAATATGATAATTGGAAGTGGAGTATAAAAGTATTCTATTCCGAAGTAAGGTATACGAAATTAGTTCTTATTTCATTTCGTTTTGCAAACGAAGTAGAATATATAAATTCGATTATATATCTAAATTCATTTTCAACACGAAATAAGATATGTAACTGTGTGATAACACATATCTTTTCAGCCCAAATATATTTTATCACAAAAATTGTACTGTAGTTGTTCCAAAAAACTCGATTAACGAAAAAAATGGACCTGCAATTGCCAAAAATTAAGGAAAATTCTACATACTTTGTTTCGCTTTGAAGAACACGCAGAGTAAATGAATAAATCGGTTTATATACATATATCCTATTTCATTTAAAAACATCAGATGGGACAGTCGCATAACGCACGACATGAAGTCGTGCAGTTTATACTCTACAGACCAAGAGGTTCTCATTGATAATTAGTTCAAAATGCGAGGGAGGGATAATTATTACAGAAGAGGATCCGTGGAATCGCTTTCGCTACGATTACTTTTTGAACTAATACGCCACCAACCATAACTCTATGATTGTTCAAAAGGGGGATATTAATCTGGTCTAAGCAAATATGAAGAAAAATAAAAAGAACAGTTCTGTCTTGATGCAACGCTAATGAATCAAAGTCAAGCCTAGGTCGCAGAAGAGATGTAAAAACGGGTCATTCTCGGGTGCATAGTTGTCAAGTGTTTAAGAGATCATTTCGGGAGGGCTTTTATAGATAATAATTACCTTAAAAAATTTAGAATAGTATATATTTAAGAGTTTAGCGTGACACTAGGCATCCATCTCTTTTTGTAATAGATTACAGGAAGACTTATCCTTTCATGCATGGCACAGCTTCACATAACACACTTGGATACATAGAGAGTATGAATTTATGAAAAGCACCTTGTGTTACTCAGATACTCTGCAATTTGTTCTATGACAAAAGCTGACAATTTGGAAATAACTTTTTAGTTTTCGTCATTAAATATATGGCCTTTCCATGGAGGGGAATGATACACGATTTCTTCGTTATGTCAGAGAATGATAAAAAGTGGAAAGATAAGAGTTACATAATTTTGTATAATAGCAGGATTGTACATATTTGTATGTCATTATTTCCTTCGAGAACCGTAGACAAGACAATCAAGAATATCGTTGAGCTAATTAATATCAGCTGGATTCATTCACCTGGTTTGAATACCAAATAGCCGGATCCTGTGCACAATATTGCTAAATCCAAACAAAATCCGGCTTGAATAGACCGTCAACAAACTTAAGAGACCTGGAAGCTAACATTAAATCTTAAGAGCTCTGATTAATCTGTAAGTTGTGTATTCAAAAGAATACACCGAAGAATATGATATGATACAGATGTTAACCACGTCTCGGTAAAAGCAAAAATGTCGAAATCGAAAGCAAACGAATCTTAATAAAGAAAAGTTTAGATCTAAGACCTCTTAATATAGGCGCCAAACGATTTATAATTAAAGTGTTGAATAAAAAAAAGTAATAATAATTGAGCACCCTCTACCAGTCAGATTGGAAGCTCTAACGTCTCAGTGGACTTACCTCAAAATTTCCCATTCATATTTGGCTTCCCCCCATTGATTGAACACTGAACATATTGTTTTTCTATTAATTATACACAAATGACATAAGAAAATTGCAGGAACAATGCGCACATATGGCTTCTACTTAACTACGAAGAAAAACCGCAAATGTCCCGCGGGAAATGCAAGAAGCAGCAGGCATAACACGCGATAGTCAGAGATAATCACAATAATCGGACGCTGCACTCTGTCGATTTAAACGATTTTCAATATGTGAGACGCGGTGTCGAGGGAAAAGCGTTTCACGTATGACGCACAATGGAAAATTCAATGTGGAAATGTGCGCGACACACAAAAGCCAGAAAAAATTGAAGGTAGCCGGCAACAATCGGCTTATAGTGCACGAGGGGGGTTGACCTACGACAGCCCTCGCACTCGACCGTGTCCTTGTAGTAATTACGTATCCCTTGTTCGGTGCTGCACATGTCTGTGTGTGTGTGTGTGTGTATGGACGGACGGACACATATGGACGAGGCAAGCCTGGGAGAGTAGTGCAAGGTATTCAAACCACATATCAAATTAAAACTCAAGATATGCATTTTAAACTTTTAAAAAATAGATATTTATCGATATTATGGAAACAGAACGAGTTTCTCAATAATTATGGTTTGGCGTTGTATCGATATTTATCGATATTGATATTTATCGATTTTGAAAAAAATTTGGTAGTTAGCAGACCTTTATTAAGGAACTCATCTTGAAATATTCTAGATCTTTGTATACTAACGAGGGACAACATATTAAAAATATTGTTTATAGCTTACATCCGTTAAAACAATGTCGCAATACAAGGCAATTAAATCTACGTTCTGAATTTGAAATCCTTCTGCCTCCATTAAAAGATAAACTTTTCTTCTTGTCGCATAACTCATTTTACTTGCGTGGTCAACTGCATGGCAAACACTTTGGGTATCTCACCCGTGACCTCGACTATTTCGGTAAAGAATTTGTAAGTGCCCTTGCCCAGCTCCTCCGGTTTGATTACACTAATCACACTTATGTTTAGAATGGAGTAGTTGCCCACGCGTATGGGACACTCCAACACCTCGCGCAGATGTATGGAGCTCATAAAGAAATGTCGATACGCAGGATTGTTGAGAAATGCACAAAAATCCATGTGTTTCACTTCGAAAAGCTTTATAAAATCCATGTCGTTCTCCAATTTTCGACGCAGGTTTATATTCATAATAAGATAATTGCTGCCCAGCTCTCGATCGAGCTTTACATAGATATCAAAGTGAAATCGATCCTCGTGTATGACGGTAACAGCCTTCATGAAGTGCCGATCCCCGTGGATTCTGATGCGCTCTATATGCACAGTCTGTAATGCAATTTTATAGAATCGATTTTTTATGCGTTTCAAACATTTTTTTCTCTTACCTTAGTTTCAGAGGATTCTTCGCTTTCAGATGAATCATCGACGTTTTGCATGTGAGCTAGAACGACGAGCCACAAAAATACTAATAGCTGTTTCATATCGGAGTGAATGTCATGCTCGGAATGCATGAAGTTTTAATAACAATTTTATTTTATGTGCTTAATTTAATTTTTCATTAAGCGGAGTTGAGGCGTGCACGAACGAAAGTTACCCTATAAACTAACCTAAACAGGTTCGTAAGATCTCAGCAAAGTATTATAGAATTCATAGTTATTCTCTTATTATTTCTTTGAAATAAGAATATATTAGGTTTTAGGGGATTTGGCTACATTCAAATCGTATTATCAATCATTATATACATATATCTTATTCATCTTATTCTCAAATTCAGTAGATATTTTTAACAAATGATACAGGTCTTTTATCTCTGGCTCCTTAAACAACGTGCCGTCAATAATATATCCGTTATCTCTTAGAACTAAAGACGGACCTTCAGTACATAATTACGCCCTATACCTATACTGAATAGTCAATCCATACATTACAAAGTTGGCTGTTTTAAGCTGCTTGTAGTAAAAAGTTGTGGCTTACTTCAAATAATTTCTTGATTATTTCCGCAAGTTGAGTCTACCAAATCCTATTTAATAATTATACAACATTAAAATGATACTAAATTTGAGATGTTACTTATAATTCCGATAACTTTTGTGAACTTTTAAGAATGCTAACGTAATTAAGTTCTTTTTGAAGGGGCTTTATCGTGTGTTCTAGTTTATAGGCAATTTGTCAACTACCTGTATTGCCATAGTATGTCACCACCTAGTCGACGTCTCAATTAGCTAACCGGCGGATATGTGCGCAATCAGGGCTCATTCATTAAGCGAAACAAGAAACAAACGACTGTGGAACAACCCACAGCTCGTAAATATATGGTACATACACTATATATGTGTATTATATATATATATATATATCGATATATGTATTTATACATAGTCAGTCAGGAAGCAGCAAAGTGTTGAAAAGCCAATTAGCGTTGCTTTTGCCAAATGACAGGAAGGAAGCCATAACCACAGCGACAGCCACAGCCAGTGGCAGAAGCAGTGGCAGAAGCAGAAGCAGCTGCAGCTGCAGCAACAGTGGCTGGTTGTGCGTGTAAATTGTGGAAATGGCAACTGTTTGGAATGAAAAGTTGAAAATTTATGAAAAACCGCACGCAGCGTCAACACCTCGATAGGCTGGAGCGTGGGCTGTGACCACTCAGCCAGCCAGTCAGTCAATCAGTCCATCCCTCAGTTAGTCAGTCAGTCAGTCAGTCAGTCCGCCAATCAAGCAGCTCTCAGTGATGCTCACCTGCTGCGTTCTGCTGTATGACAGCTGCAGAGATGGGCGCATGTAGGAATTTTTTAACACGACGCAAACACGATATGAGCGTTTTTGTATATAAATAAATGTTCGAAATAGAATTACATAAAAATAATTATAACAGTTAGGTTTCCTGCTTTTGCTGGAATACCATTTCTTATAGTTCATATATAAACAATAGATATGATATAAGAGTCTGAAAATATACTGTACATTTTCTCTATAAGGTTATAATATTTTTACCTTATTATTTTTACTTTTTATACCCTTAACCCATTAAAAATGGGTATAAGTATTTGTGCAAAATCCAAATGTATGTAACAGGCAGAAGGAAGCATCTCCGACCCCATAAAGTATATATATTCTTGATCAGCATCAATAGCCGAGTCGATCTAGCCATGTCCGTCTGTCTGTCTGTCCGTCCGTCCGTCCGTCCGTCCGTCCGTCCGTCTGTCCGTATGTATGAACGCAAGGATCTCAGAACCTATAAGAGCTAGAGAAATTTTAGATGTAGGTGCTCCTAGTGCCTGCGCAGATCGAGTTTGTGTCCGATAATCGATAACTTACCCCGTTTCCAAGCAATCGATAAATATCGATATCCTGTTTTTTGGGCAATTTTGGTAAATAATAAGAGCTAGAGCCACCAAACCTGACATATAGCTTCTAAAATAGAATATATATATATGTATTTGATGTTGGAAAAAGAGGGTTCAGGGTATCGCCTAGTTGGGAGCTCCCGACTACAACCTCTTGTTTGTAATTGTTTTGTAAAATTTTAAATTACTTACAGTTTTGAGTATCTGTATATTTTGCATTTTCGAACATATTTTATTTAACATAAAAATAATTCCCCTTAGAGTAAATAAATAATTAAATATTTATTAAACTTGTTAGCTAAAATAATTATTTACATTTAAAATCTTATATTTTTCTATGTTAGCTAATTTATGTTCAGGCTCCTGTGGACAGGAGCAATCCTGTGCTCCAGTAGTCGTGCTCAACACGAACACTCGTGAAAATATCTGCTTGAACAAGAATATGTCGGGTTGAGTTACGATAGAAATCACGACACGAGCTCAGCTCTAGAAAGAGGTGTTGCGTAATTTTCTGCTTCATTTAATTAAGCCGATTCCATGGGTGAATTTTAGGGGGCGTTTGGAAGGCAGGGAGGGAGACTTGCGTTCATGTTGTATGACTGGCGATTGGGCTTAGGCGGCTTAGTCTGCCTGCCTCACACATGCACATGTGGGCGTGCTTTGGTAATTAACTCACATGTCCATGTTCATAATTCATAATGTTTTGCTTAATTATTTATTCATAATGTCTAATAGTGCCGCCAGCAGCAGCAGCTTAAGGGCTAGCAGCTTAGTTCCTATTAATTGGCACAAACAAGTGCCCCGAGACCAACAATAACACACATTGATACAATGTTTGATAAACACAAAGATTAACAATAAAACAAAAAAACTTAGTCTATATAAAGTTTCTAGGGCTTGCGTACGCGCGTGTCGGCCAGAAAACAGGCGACCACCTGATCCGATTGTTCCGCATCGTGGAGCGAAACCTGCAGCCGGGTGGGCACCTCCGGCTGATTGCTGGCGACTGGGAGTAGGAGGCGATAGGTGACATCCTCCCCAGCGTCCAGTGGACAGTAGGCGCCATGCAGCAAATTTTTGCACACATTGCTGCGCTGCGCCTCCAGTTCAAAGGGTATGGTCACGCCCAGTGAGGTCAGGTGCACCCGCGCCGTCAGCTGATGCATGGAATTTCGTGCTGGATTTTCAGTAATGTTATAGATTAAAGATATATTTCTAAATGGGAAACGTTTTCGGCTAACTCACTGGCTACAAACTGTATGGCTATGTTGGACTCCAGACCCTTCAGCAAATCACAGGGTAGCTCATCGCAATCATCTATTTGCACCATCAGTGGCAGCGGATTGTTTGTATTGGCACCTGTGTGTGCGGAATACACCTTATTAACAATAATTGTTTAGCAAATTGTAATCTGTATACTCACATTGCCGGACGGGCGTATCAGCGATGGCAAATGTCCAGTTCAGTGCACAGATCAGGCACAAATATAAACAAACTTGATCGGCGGACATTTTGAGCTTGAACTCTGTTTTTATAAACTAACAAATTTCCTTCGGCTATAATAGCTGTGCTCCTCCAAAGCTGATTGCGTTTTAATGCCATTTGGCAGCATTCTCTGCCTTTTATAGCAATGGGAGGCAACAGCTGGGTAGCATAGTTCGCCTGCACTTGCTGCCTAATCTAATCGGCCCAGTTTAGAGAATATTTTATTGTACCATATTTATAATACTGATTTGCTACGGGCTTGCTAATCTATTGCCAAATTCGCTTAATAGCTTGTCTGCCATTCGAATAAACATTCAATGAAAACAAAAAATTAAGGAACGCCAAAACTTAGTTCTCAGCTCAAATGAAACGATAAGAAGGAGAAGAAGAAGAAGAAGGGCTATATTCGGCATACTCTTGTAGACCCAACCTTTTCATAGTGCTGATAGTGCCTTGCCAGTATCTAAGAAGCAAAGGGAAAATAGTTAATGCTGAAAAAAGTTGTTTGTACAAGAACCTACTTTTCGACCGATCTTTCCTATGGCAGCTATATGATATAGTGGTCCGATCCAGCTGTTTCCGACATATGTACTAGGTGCAACAGAAAGAGGAAAGTTTCATTAGGAAAGCTTTAAAACTGAGAGACTAGTTCGCATAAAAAAGAGACAGACGGGCAGACGGGCATGGCATTATCGACTCGGCTGTTGATATACTTTATGGGGTCGGAGATGTCTCCTTCTATGCGTTCCACATTTCACGATAAAATTAATTGCAGAAATTGTAATTCCCAACGAGCCGAAGGCTATGTGCACAGAAGGTCAATTTCCATTCGATTCGCTTTATTCTACGAAGCTTTACATTATTGAAAATTCTAAATTTTCACGGTCTAATAATATATATTTTTCCGATTTGTAAGTAAAGAAGACTATTCATAAAGAGACTAAATTTTAGATTTTAAATCAAATCCATCTAGATGAAACTATTTATTAAATAACAGATATTAATGCGTCTGTAAAATGCAAAAGCTTGCAAACTTTTCAATTGGATTTCGTATTTTAATTTGTCTTAGTATTCAAATAATTGTGCATGAATCATAGTTTGTATGATTATGGAGCTCTTAAGATATAAAACTTAACGATGATTCATAGCAGTTACCTCCCAGCAGTTACCTCTTGAGCCAAACAATTGAGTACTCTTACGCCTACAAAAAGCCCTGTCCCCTTTTAAGATACTACGAGTACAGCTGAACTTGACTGCCGGCCATTTCCGATAAGATGATGAACCCAACACCTGTTGGTTCCTAACTAGTCCGAGTACAGGCAAACGCGCTATTTACGCTTATCATTCGGCAGCGATAATAAAATTAGCAAGCGCTTAGCGATTAGCAAAAGCAACAAAACAAGCAAACATTTTTCTTGCATATTTTCAGGCCGTGCCACAAGAAAAACCACCGCCCCATTTAAGAACTACCTACCTGAACTGGCCTCCTTGCTTAGCTATGTTTACTTACGCGTGCAGCTTAAAAAGTAATTGGCCTTAAAAGCGAGAATATATAAAATATATTTTCTATGAGCCCAAAATGGATCAGCTTCAAAAATCAAGTCTACCTATATTTATCGAAAACTTGAAATATTTAACGTAGAACATGTCTCAGGGCACTAACAGTTCGGGTTTATTTTAAATCATCGATTTAAAAACTCCGTTTCCAAGAAATTGATTAAATCGAGTTATATAATTGGGTTTTTGGCCATTTCTCGGAGTCTTTACGAGCCAGAGACACCAAGTTTGGGATGCTAGTTCTTGTAGAGTATATATATACATATGCTCTATATATATATAGAGAGAGAGAGAGAGTATGTAGAGAGATAATCAACTTTTTGGATACCTCCGCCAGCTCCTTCAAAAATTGTAGAAAAAAATCGAGCCTTTCGTTTTGATACATACACACTTTTGTCATAAGAATCGAACTGTAAAGATAAACCGCGACGTATTTCGTTTCCTGTCAGCGCCGATTTCTTTTCAGCCTACCCTCGTATTTATGTGTGCCCGCCGTCGACAACACATTAACGTCAATTTATATGCATAGGCAATTTGAAACAAGTTTTATACAATTTCTTACACCCACTTGACTTTACAAGTAGCACCACCAGCAACAGCAGCGGAAGCAGCTGGATGTCAAGGGGTGAACCACTCGGCGTGCACTTGTGCCAAAATTTCATCAATATTCTCATATTTTTCATAAATTTCAACTGTTTTATATGCAAATTAGCTGAGCGATTTTCCACAGATTGCGAGTAAGTTGATTTAGTTGTTGTTCTTGAAAATTGATTTTTAAATGTTTACGTCTAGATTATTAAAATGCTTAAATGATTGGCATATTTTATTTTTAAGGGATGGCTGCAGTCTTCTCTTTCTCTTTTTTTTTATCATTCAAGTTCATGGACAATTATTTTAATTTGCATTTACTTAATTAGTTTGCGCGTCAATGAAAATTGAAGCGATTTTTCAACAGAGCTGGTATTGGATTTTTGTTAGGTTAAATGGGCTTGTTGTACTGATAAATCAAAAATATTGTTACTATGCTCTATAATGCTATTAAGAATCAAACAAACATCAACAATCTTTTGAGGTTCTGTTTAAACCTCACCTTAGGGGTTCGGCTCTTGATCTCCTTTTCCTTCAATATAATTCGATCCTCCTCAAGAATTATCGGCTTATAGCATAGAAATATTTAAACATAGAACTTTGAATCGAATTGGTTCATATGAAATTCCATTTGTAGCCTAATCTACCATATTTCAGAGGTCAGCTTGGCATTACCTAGTTGTATACTTAGTACAAATACAATAAGTTGTTAAATTCTCGACTAAGTTTTCTTTTCTTCAATTTCCATTTCCACTTCCACTTTGAAACATGCCCTCGAATCAATTTGAATATGTATTTCAAAGAATTGTATGCAAATTCAACTGAAATTTTTCAACATTCAAATGTAAAATTTCAAAAAAAAAAAAGGAGTTAAGCTGAAACTGAAATTATAGAACAGTAAAAGTCAAATCACTCGAATTATGTGCAAAAGCTTCAAAGTAAACTTTTAATTATGCATTGGCCTCACTTTAAATGCACAAAGAGTTCCACATATTTATGCAAATAAAGTAACATATTTCTCTGGCTTGCGACAGGCGAATGTTTGTGCACAGTTTCAGGCCAGCAATTTGAGTGAAGGGTAAGGGTTGAAGTAATGTGCCAGGGTGCGGGTTACATTAAATGCCAACACGTGAGCCGTGTGCTGTAAGGTAAAAATTGCTCGACAGCAAACTTGTCGAAACGCATGTTCTCCTGATTTCGGGAAACATGAATTTTGCATTCATTTAATTGCAGCACCCAAGCAAGGTATTGCTGGGAGCAGGCGGTGTGCAATTGCCAAATTAATTAGTGCTTCTGGCTGGCTGGAAAAAATTTAATAATTTTTGCATGACGGCCTATGCAAATTGCTGGAAAATATCAAAGTGCGCGCCAGGGCGGAAAACTACGCAGGTGAAAATTGCAAGTGAATAAAGAGAAACGCTGCTCAAGGGCAGTTGGTCATCTGACCAGAATAGACCAAGTAAGAGTGCTCTAATCGAGAGTACCCAACTGGCAAATACCCTACATAAAGCGACAATGCATTCTATAATAGTTACAGTGTTTATAGTCTGATCTTTATACGATGTTCAGGGCTTAAAAATGGCATATGAAGTATACTAAAGCTCTTTATACACCTTTCTATACCTTACAATAGATGTATTTGATATTAAAATACTGAATAGACTCAGCTTTTTGTCATTGGGTTCATAGCAGAAAACGCTGATACCCTTTCTTAAACATGTACTGGGTAAAGGGTATAGGAGAATGTTAGAGAAACCTCAGAAAATGGTTTGTTAGATTGTTAAAATATATCCAGTTGAACGCACTCGTCAGTTACAAACTATGCCAAACTTTTACGGAAGCAACATGAAATAAATCTAGGGGTAGTTTGATCATATGAGAAGGGTTGCTCACTGCCCAATTAGCTCGTCATTCAGCACACCTGTTGACAGGGTGACCAACGGGCGACAGCCGGGCACACAAATGGGCGTGACAGTCGAAAATTCCTATATTAATTGACAGCACACGACCGGATCATCAAATATGCTTGTAAAGTTTAATGAAAAATTAACAACACGAGAAATCAAATTGTCGCCTAATTGAGACACAATGCAACCAACTGGCAGCTATTAAATTTCGTGTAAACAAATGTCACATTGAGAATGCCTCGAACAGCCCCAGCGATTGCCTCTGATTGAGGCCAAAAGGCCATGAGGCGAGCAGGTGAGGTGATATCAGGCAGTACGCGCCTTGGCCAGGGGCTTGGCTTAACAAATCGCTGGGCCCTGACGCTGGCATTTCACGTCAGCTTTGATTTGACAAATTAATTGGGTTTTTGCTGAGAAAGACTGACGCCTAACAGCTTAGATCTTAAAGTCACCAAAGACATACAATATGTTCCAAAATGTATTTTACGCAAAAGTATATAACTTTGTTTTAGATTTCAGAATGATTGGAATATAATTAATTAACCGAATTTATTAACCAAACTTCATACAATTTAAACAAATTTGAAAAATCTTACCAAAATTGAGCCTATTAAGTTCAATACTGTTTTTATTTTTACTATGAATCGAACTTTAAAGTAATTTGCCTAAATATCTGTCGAATAGTTAAAAATAAAACATTTTTAACGGAAACTCAGCCCACAAGCATATAAATATATACACACAACTTGGGCACCTACCATTGTAACTATCTTATTATATTAATTATACAAATATACGTACAAATTTATTAAAGAACAAACCAAGGTTTTTACCACAATCTGAGTTTATGGAAGTGTAAAATCAGGTTCCCTGTTCGAACCTAAGGGCAGGCTCGAAAATATCTTTAGAGTACAGTGTCGTACAGTGATTTCTTACAAAATATTAATACTTCTGCTTCTGAAACACCAAAAATTTGATTCCCAAAACAAAATCAAAGCCCACTTTTTGTGAGTGTACATATCAATGTTTAACTTTTGACTATTGTTTTCTCTGGGAGCCATATGATATAATAGGACAAGGCCAATAATATTTCCGTACTTATTGAATCCACAGTAAAGGGCATAATTACCAATTACTTCCCTGCTAACAATTCGATGGATATATAAACTTTTTTCTTATTTTACCTTTTTCGGTTGAACCTATGCACTCCAAAGATTCTCTGTGTTGAAAACGATGAAACGTTAATCCAAATTACACAACAAATTTGAAGAACTGCCAAAAAAAAGGCGAGTTGGCAGCTCTCATAGGTCGTATTATCGATTTCAAAAGGCACATCGCCCAGCTAAGCCCGAGTAATACTTTGGGGAATATGCAAAAAACAAAAAAGAAAGCCCAAAAATAAACTCGCACAAAAGTGCAAACGGAAATGGGAAATGGAAAATGGGGTAAGTAGCTCGGCTGTGAAAGTATGCCATGAAAGTATGGGAACACGAGCAGCTCGCTGCTCAGATTTTCCGGTTCACATAATTGCATTAGATGGAACTGAAAATAGAATATCGCACATATAGGGACATACGTATGTACGTACATAAATATATATGTATATATATAAATAAATACGGCAAAAATCAATGCATGATGGTAATCAAATATTGCGGTTCCATTCGCAAAATAAGAAGCTAAAAGCCTTGACGCTGATAAGCACACACACACACACACACACACACACAGGCACACATGTATGGTAAGGACAGTCTGAGGACATTTTGTATAGGATTTTGGCATTGCTTTGACATATTAAATAATGCCACAACAATTACAACTGTGCAGCATGTGACAAACGGCGCCGCTGACATCGAGCATCTCCGCAGGACGCACGTCTAGGTGAGCAGGGATGGTAGCAGGGATGGTGCCAGGGGCGGGGGCAAGCCGTAGAGATTTCGGCAGCATATATGCGGAAATCTCATGCTGCGCTGCCCACATGTCAACCCACCACCCGCAACGCAGCATTGCAAGATTTTCGGTTTTTTTTTTTTGGCGAAAAATATATCTGCGCCGGTTGCCAGAAATATTTAGTAAAATTTGTTGTGAATATTTGAAAGCTAAAGAGTAATAATCGAATTGGTATGAAATCGGAACCTGATACTGAACAGAACCCTGTTCACATTATAAATACTTTTTTTATTGTATTTTAAATGTATTTTTTTATGACTTTCGGCTTACAATGTTCTCAGAACAGAATAAAATAATAATACATTTTGATAAATTTAAATAAAGTGAAATGATTTGCACAAAATCGAAAATGTGATTAAGCAAGATTTAAACTACAACACGACACATTTTTATAAACAGATTCACGAACCATAACTACCAACATTTTTTTTTTGCACAATTTCATTTGACAAACTTTACGAGCACACCTCGCGCACTTACCTTTGGCAAATTTTCACTCTGTTGCGGGCAAATTATATTTTTCAGCTTACTTTTAGTCGGTTTCTTGTAATTTTTTTTTTTTTAAGTTTTATTGACAATGACTTTGGTTGGAGTATAAATGTCTGTTTTTGGGTTCCTTTTGAGTTTTTAGTTTTTTTTTCCCTTTTGTACTTTTGTCGGTAAGCTTGGGAGTCTGATTTTCTTGTGTTCAAGGATTTATTTCGCAATGGCTTTGTGGTCCCATAAAGTACTTTGGACTTAAATTTGTCGTGTTATTTGCAGTGCATTTCTAAATATTTTCAAGTGCGAAGAAGTTTCATATATATTTATATGCTATTTTCTTAAATTTATTATATTGATAATATTAAGCTACTTTAACTATTGGAAATCGCGAAAGGTAATTTAAATTACTTTAGTATATCCTCAGATAGAATTCTGTGGATTGATGAAATTCATTGTAACATATAGCTAGTAGATAAATTTAACTGTCGACTATATATTGTAGGTTTTCCATAATTGAGTCGCTGGATTAATCAATCGACATTTTTACTTTCAAACATATTTCTTATATGAAAATGTATTGAAATTTACAATCTTAAATAACTTATGTGTTTATAGTCCGATCGTTATAAAACTTTCGGCACTTAAATATGATATACAAATGTAAACGTAACTATTGAGCTTTAATAATTATTTGAGCTTTAATTATTTATCCCCCATATAAGTCGATAGCTATCGATCCTAGCTATCATACTTCTTAATTTAAATCCCCAAATGTATGTTGCAGGAATCGCCTTTGGCAGCTTTTATGTGCCGCACTAAAGTAGGTAATACTTTTTTAACCACAATTAGTAACACTTCATAAATGACATTGTGTCTTATACCCAGACAGTTTTTACAAATCTTATCAAAAGTTTTATTTCGTAGCTTCAAAGATTTAAATGTAAATAAAAACAAACATAAACAAAGTTTGATATATTTAAGATATATTAATAAACAAATTAATTACGTTTCTTAAATCTATGACTACAATATAAACCTTAAAAGTAAAATATATATTCCCGATGCAAGAATCTACATAGTAAATGGTGACGCGTCTTATAATCACCGGCAAATGCTTATTGGAAGTTTAAATATATAGATTTCGCAGATTTTTCGATAACACGAAATAAGCTTGATTTGGTATGTGTCATTGTTTCCAGAAAGGTGGACAGATTAAAAGACAGAAGAACTCCTCGGATGGACAAGGCTTAAATATTTGTCTGTTGAAATTATATATTACAAATTATAGAATCGAAAACTTCTCCTTATATACAGTTGAAAGAACTGGGCCTATACGCCAAATACATCAATTTAGTATCTGTTTCAAACTATAATAAGGAATTTAACGGTTGATCGACCTTAGCAAATCCAATTTGCTCTATAGTACTTACATCGGATACCACATCCATTGGTTTAGTTGTAAGTTAAACATTGTCGAGAATGCTTAAGTACCGTGCATTGTTCTTGCTGCTGGCCATATTCTGTGTGCTGGCTGAAGCCCGGCGTAGGAGTGTGACATTTAAAAGGAGCGACCAGAGAGTTGTGGGTGGAACTACACTTACAGACGTTATAATGTTTTCTGCAGTATCGATACAGGTTAATAAAATCCATATATGTGGTGGTTCCATTCTGAACATTCGTTGGATCATAACAATCGCGGAGTGTGTAAGGGACAGGGATTTTGAAATGGTGATGGGCATACAGAATCAGCAGGATGAGAAGAATGCGTTCAGGCATAAGCCACTTGAAGTGATTATTCACTGTAACTACGACCAATCACAAGCTACCAACGGCATTGCGCTAGTGAGAACTACTAACAGTATTAAACACAGCTGGAATATCCGACACAGTAATCTGGCGGTAGAGGTGCCGCCAGTGGGTGCTAAAATTCGTTTCACCGGCTGGGGTGGCGAATCCAAAAATGAGACATTTTCAAACAAACTAAAGATCCTGAATGCCAAATCCGTGTCCCATACGAACTGTCAAGGTCGCATAGATCCACATAATGTTTGTGCACATTTTCCAAAGGACATGGGCCCCTGCAATGCGGACATCGGCAGTGGTTTATTTCACTTCGAGGATCTGGTAGCCGTGGCCGGCCCTAAATTATCGTGTGGTGAAAATAGAAGCGATGAATTTGCCTCGATTCCATATTATTATGACTTTATACGCACTACTATAAGCACTTGTGATAAATTTTAGGTTGGAGGCTTGCGCAACAGACGCAAAAATTAGTACAAATGTAGTGCAAACATAATTAACGCACTTCAAATAAAAAAATACAATTTATTAATTATATTAAAAGGCCTTAATATCAATTTGCAAATATTCTAAAATATTATTCAAAAACTTGTTTAGTCTTTTAACTTAAACCGAACCACTGTTCATTTTGGTTGGCTTGTCAGTCTTGTTTTTGTTTATATGTATAATAAACTAATTTAAACAAAAGTATATCTCTATATATAAAACTGGTTGTCCTGACTGACTGATTGACCGACCGATTGATAAGAGCTAGAAAGCTAAAATTTTTACTGTAGTTACCTTATGTGATGAAGGTGCACGTTAATACGGGGTTTCGGGCAATTCCACCCGCAACTGTATGGAAAAAGCGGGAAAAGCTTTTGTATGAAACTTTTTTGTTTACCATCGGCCTAAAACTTAATTTCAAAGATCTTTGTTTATTTGTGGTGTGTTCCACACTTAAAAAAAAAAAACATTTCTTCTTGGTGGAAATGCTTCAAACTTATCTGCAAACCTCTACATAAGAACTTAATGAATACGTGTTTCAGCGATTTGTAAAATTCCTCCCGCAACGATAATAAATTGGCGGAAAACGCTTGTATGTAAGTTTGTTGGTTAACATCCGTTCAGCTACAAGAACATTTTCAAAGCTCTTTGTCAAAATTTATCTGATGGGTGCTTCGCACTTTTTGGAAAATCCATCCCTTCTTTTTGGAAATGGGGGTCAAAGATCTGGTGGATGCCGTTTCGTGCTCAAATTCATTTATCAATAAATTCTTTTCAAAATCGGAATACTTGTTGTGTTTTCGCATGTTTGTCGGTATAAATATATGAATCGCATATCTAATATATATGTGCAAGAATATTCAATCTTCTCGAAAGTAACTCCTCTTTGTTGTTAACTTACGAATTACCAAATAGATCGCCTGCTTATCAAGAGTATATCGAATTTGTGCCTTGTTTTCATGCAATGATTGGTGCTCCTTTAAAAAAAAAAACTCAATAGTTTCCGAGCCAATTTCGGTGTTAACAAATCAAAAAACGCCTTCGATCGATAAGATAATCATTGGTAAGAGTCACTCAAATCAAACTCATGTGTTGGCTATAAAAACGAAGTCCGTCCACTAATTCGGTAAATATATTTGGCAAGTGCTCAAAGCAAGTTATTGAAAAATGCAGCCGAACACTTTAATCTGCCTAAGCCTTTTGCTGTTGGCTTCTCTACTAAACGGGGTCCAGGGCGACGATAAGATACCCGCCACCGAAGTCAAACGCTGTACGTTCTTAAGTTTTGATACAATCCAAAGACAGAACCTAACTAACTATGGTGAATCTCTATTTTGTTCCTAGGCTCGGGCAACAAGCCTTTTCCGTTGGAGGTGCGAGTTAGTGGCTGTGTGACGCCACCATGTGATGTCATCAAAGGGACTGTTCAGACGTTTGAGATTGATTTTGCCGTAGACAAGTATATTACGAGTGCTACGACTCTGGTAAGGGCCACCACTCTGGGTATAATAACGGTGCCCTACGAGCTGCCTGAGGATGTGGCCGCAGTCTGTCCGAATCTAATGTATGGCGCCTACTGTCCACTGTATCCCACGGAGGATGTTACCTATAAATTTGAGTTCCCGATTGGTGAATATCCCGAAATTGGTGTCAAAATTGAGATCTACCTGGTGGATCAGGATCGCGATATAGCCACCTGTTTTGTGTGTGATATCAAAGTGAAGAAGGGCTCTGCAGGCTCTCAGGTCTACGAACTGAACTACCTTAACTAAGAAACAACACTCTGTTCAACTCATTTATATATTGGCATATTATACTGTGATAAATATACTTTTTTTTTTTCAATAATTTAAAAAAATAAAATACCAATGCTTTAAAAATGTAATCCAATACACTTTCTCTTAACACTTGTATGCAGCACGTTTGATTATCATAAACAAGAAAAACTTTTCCGCCATAAGGAAAAGACTTCATTATTAATAAACAAATGAATTTACCTCTATATTTACAACACCCCATCATATGCCCATAAAAGTAATCACTGACGATTTAATTTACGCCTGTCTAAGTGCAATCGATCATAAAGGTTCGACGCACCCTACAGTAACTAGTGTCAAGTTAATTGAGACGCTAAGCCAAACGTAATACCCCATATTGATAAGGCCTAAGTACTCGTATATGGGCCTAGCACACCTGTTCGCGCATGCAACTAACTGTTTCCCACCCGCTGGAAGAGCAACGCGAAGGACGCAGATAAATGTACCGGAGCTATCAATACCCAAAACAATGATTGACTGAAGACCTTATCAAGGTGCATTTCAAGAGTAAGAATCACCGTGCACTGTACAAAAATTTAATAACACCACAGACAGAATCACAACCACAAATTTTGATTTGTTTTCGATCTTTGAAGAAAATTCCATAAAAATTATTTAGAGTTCGAATTTAAATCAAATTTCCCACTACGTGATTCAGATGCTGCAGATTGTATCTACTTTATGCTGGGGCTCTCTTGCATTTATTTCCATCTCTCTTCATATCGCATTCGTAAACGTTTTACTTACTTTGTTGACTTCCTAATTTTGGCCTTTAACATTTCTAAATTCCCTTTTTTCAAATACTAACGAAAAATCAAATTAATATAATATTTTTTTTTTTAAGTTTCTCAAGACCTTTTAGACAGAACACTTTTTCATTTCCTTTCCAGTTCAGCTACATTTTTATTAATTTTTAAAATATGGTAATTTAACATATTCCAATTGCTACAATTGACCTTACCACAAAGTTAGTAAATAAACAAATATTACATTCTCAAAGTTTTTAAGAAAAAATAATAAACCATAAAATTATCAAATATCCTACATAAAAGAACAAAAATCAAATTATTAACCATTTTTATTTATTATTAAAAAAAACTATTTTTAATGGATATTAAAACAATACCAAATAAATTGGCACATTTAAAAGAAGTACGAAAAACAATAGGAAATTTGTTAAAAATTTTAGCTAGAAAAGAATAATACTGCTTGATTTCTTGCAGTGTCGATTTGCACCTAAAAAATCTAAACCCTATCAACCGCAATCAAGACCTGTTGACCATATGGCCAATTCAAGAAGCCTGCTGCCGGTCAATAAATGATTATCATAACGGATTTTATTAGTATGTGAGCTACCCAGGCAATTAAAATTAATTTATAATTTGAGTGCAAATGGCAACGTCACAAATCTTATCAATTGAAACGCAGCTCGCTAAGGCAAGAGCTGATTAGGCGGTACACTGGAAGGCCCATAAGTGATGACGTCGAATCAGTAAACAAACGTGGGCTATCAGTTGAGAATTCGATGTTTATTAGCCAAGAATATGACAGGCGACCAATTGCGGAATCAGTTAGTCTAGAAGTGTCGTGTCGGGTACAGGTCCATATAAAACGTTTTCCTTCGAAATGGTGTTGGGCTCGTGCGCATCCAAAAGCAGCTGCTCGTGTCGCGCTGAGGGACCTTTACGGATTTTACAAGTGACCACAAAGCAGGAGATCGGATTGTCATCGGCATCGTTCAGTGTGACCGTAACATCGGCGGTAATTTCGGGAAATGCGGGCTCCACGTAAAAATTGAATCTATACGTAACATCCTCGTCCTTATCAATGGGGCAGATGGCGCCATACAACAGATTGATGCACACATTTGATACCTCCTCGGGCAGGTCATACGGCAAATTCATGCCAAAAACTTTCGCAGTGACCTTTGTTGTAATACGCGCAATATTGTTCTTATCTATTATAAACGGGAAAGTTAAAGGATTGATTCTTATAATCAATACACAGAGTTCTCTTTCCTTACGCACTTACCGCCCAAAAACTGAACATCCATTATAGCGAATTGTCCTTTATAGACCACGCACGGCGGCTCCTCGCAGTCTTGGATGGCAACGCTTAGTGGAAACGGCTTGTTTGTACCTGAAATTCAAAAGCTTTTAGTTCAGTTCTTAAAAGTATGCAACGTTTTTTTTTAATTAAAAGCTTTGCATTCCTTGATTGGGTAGCATTCTGATAAGCCTTATCGGCTAAGTGATAGCTATATTTATTTAATGTTTATACGCATATATATATACAGATTATATACATCCTGATTTTAAATGCTTTCAATGATGAATAACGTTTTCTTTTTCGTATCAACAACAAAAAATAACCTAAGGCTCATGATAGGCGATTATCAGGTAGAGGCGCAAAGTTGAACGAAAACTTGCTGAAGCACATGAGTACTACGAGTACATGAGTACTTGGAGGAATTAACCTGACTGTCAAGCGCTAAGAGACCTTACCTTGAGAAGCAGCCAACATTTTTCAATTCGTACTTAAAGATGTGATCAAATTTTAAAATCAAAAGTTCTTTGCATATGCACATATATCGAAACAGATTGTGCCAGGACAAAACGATTTTTTATATCGGGAATTGTTCCCGATATAAATTATTAATTTACTCTCAAATGTCACATCACGAAGCTTAAAATAAACATAATACAACTAATGTTTTGAAGTTGTAAGGATGTGATTTTTAAATTGACTTACATTTCTTGACAGTGGTAGCGGCACCAAAAACGCACAAATACGCTAGCGTTAGAAAAACAACTCGAAACATTTTGATAAAATTGATACTTCTGCAACAAGACAATATCGCCAGCAGTTAAATACAGTGAATGAAACTATTGCCTCATTGGAGGAACGTTAAATAGCAAAAGTTTAGGACTGATGACCAAGTTGTGTGAGGTTTATCAAACGCGACGCAGATTGCTATCGAGGGCCAGGTGTTACAAAGAAAGAAAACAAAAAAAAGTATTAATAATGATAATGATGAAAATACAATGTATTCTGCAGGTGTACGCCCGGCTTCGCTTAAATCAGTATATAACGTAAAATTCGACTGATAAGTCTAGGAACGCCAATACGCAACAATTAAGAGCTGAGATAGTTGACAAATGTCGAGATTAGTTTAAAGTATTAAATAAACATAGCCGGCACAGCTGATCAAATGCGAGACCGCAGTATTCCTAAAATTACGTGAATCATTAATTCTAGAAACGCTAAGATTTGAAATTAACTGGTAATTTGTTTAATTTGCAATCGTTTCAGAACACTATTTACCAACTGCCTATCGACCCTCCACCGCAAGCTATCGATTACATCGATAGTCTTAGCGCTTAAACGCGGTCATACTTTTTAGGCTGGCCAAACTTCTCTTTACATATTGCATTTAAATTTCTTTTCAAATGTCTCTGGAGTTAAATAATTTGAAGCGCGATTTGGCAGTCCAATTCCCTGGCTTGTACATTGAGCGCAGAAAAAACAGCGCTCATTGCATAGACGGGGTTATTTATATAAATGATAAGTGGATACGCCTAAAACTTTATTTACCGCATTTTCCAGAACTGCGCGACTTTGAATTACATGTGCAGCAGCACTTGGAATACAAAAGCTACAACAGCGCAAACTTCCAGATCCAGACCAATTGGCAAGTAACGGATCTACTGTCAAATCTGGGACAGCTTGTACCCGAAACAGTTGTCTTGGACGCCTGCCCGACTGCCCAACAAAAATCTAATGTCTACACCGAGATTCTGGAGCTTCACAAACCACAGCAGTATCGCCTTCAACTGAATGAGAGTTGCTCGCGCATTCGCTTCTGTAGCTTTGCCGAGCATGAAGCGCATTATCTAGAATTGGAGCTGCCCACTTTGCGACTAATAGAACACAGCCTGCCACACTGCATTCAACTGGCAGATATATTGGCTAGCAGCTCGCGTACACTTACGGACATATTGCATCTCTATCTGAAGCTGCTGGAGGATCTGCGTCCCTTTTACGAAAGCTTTGCCAGCATTGATGAGTTGTGCGATGTTCTACAGCCTTATCCTATTACCACTAAACATAACACACGTGTGTTTCCACTGAAAGAGCGTGTGTATCTCAAACTGACCATAGCCGATCCCTTTGCTAGCTATGCCTCCATGGCTGTGCAGATTATAGGACCCACCGAAGAGGTGGCCCAATTACGGCATGTGCTTAGCGATGGACTCGGAAGCTGGGACATTGAGCTGGACATGCATAAGAACCTTTTGAACATATTCGATTTATGCTACTTTCCCATGCCAGCTGATTTTGAACAGCCAAAGAAGGATGAGGACGAACAGCAGCGTTGTAATATTTGTTTTGTCTATCGTTTGGACAGCGGTGAGGTGCCAATTGTGTCGTGTGATAATCCTCGCTGTGTGCTAAAGTGCCATGCTGCCTGCCTGAAGGAATGGTTTGACACGCTGATCGATGGCAAAACCTTTCTGGAGGTGTCCTTTGGCCTATGTCCGTTCTGCAAGGCAGTAAGTATTTAATAATATTATGCAGATGCAGTTAGTTTTCTAATCTTTTCCTGACTTTTCAGAAGCTGTCCACCTCTTTTGCAGCGCTTTTGAAGAACTAAACCAAATTTCCAAAATATTTTAACTCACGCTCTATGAATGTATTCCGATTTGATTGTATTTATGTATTTACTTAAAATACAACATTTATTAATTTAAAATGAAGAAAGAGTAAATCACGCCGATATCTTAAATATGAATTAGTTTTAATATAACTTGGTAAATCAATCTTTATGTTTTGCATACATACAATCCCGTCTATTTGACGACTTCAGTTGCATTTTAAATGTACTAGACGAAAGTGTGAAACGAATTTGCAATGCTCTGTATTAGCTAGAGATTACCCAGCTCCTGAGATGGCCGACGACGAACGTCAGACCGTCGACAACAACAGAAGCCGCCAACACGTTTCACCAGTCGCCAACCTCATTCAAGTTCTCTGGAAACGAGGCGCAACAGATTGCGTACCACAAATGTGCTGCCATGCGTGGGCGTACGCTCACTGGTTTTGCCAATACGGACACTGGAGCCAGCCAGGCCAAAGAATACCTTAGGGGCCAGATTCGGTTCAACTGCCTTGAATTCCCAGCCCACATGTTGCGCGCAAAACTTGCAGATAATTATATGCCACTGGTAGCCGGGAAACCAACTAAACTCCGTGGATGGCTCACCACTATAACCAATGGCATGTGCAATAACACGATAGACCGTATTGGTCTCGTGAATATAGCCAGCTGGAAGAGAACGGATTATATCAGTTGATGCGACCTATGTGACCTAAATGATCACAATCAGCTCACCCGAATTGCAATATTGCGTTTGAACGCCATGCTTGGACATGGCAAATAAATCCGAACAATAAGCCAGACTGCTGTTGCAGTAACGGCAATAGAAGAGCGACTCCTGCTTTAATGTGGTATCAATGATCTGCAGTCTTATATTCACCGAATCCGTAAGAAATGTCAAACGCATCATTTTCTCTGTGAGATGCAAATTGCGCACCAGCCAAAATGACAGCTGGATGGGACACTTTGGCATGGTATCAATTTTATGTATTTCTAACTTTTGGCGTGCCTTCTCCACAATATGCTCGAATGAATACTCTTCGCATGCCTCATATGGCCACGGTGTGCTGGTTAGTTGATAGCGTCGAAACTTTTTCTCCATCGAGGGTATATCACGAAAACGATTTAACGAACCCATATCAATGCATTTGAGCGGCTCGGGCAGAAAGTACTCTGGCAATATTTTAACCTTGCTGTAGCACTTCATGGTCGGATTGCGTGCAATGTACTGGGGCGGGCTAAAAAAGATTTTCCAAGATTAACAAGAATTCAGCGTAGGTTAATCATCCAATGGCCCTCACCCTTGTATATCGTCGCAGTTGATGACGATGCGTTGCAGTGCACGGGACTTGTAAAAAACATGCTGTCGTCCACTTTCCCCTTTCTCATAGATCTGGCAAGTAACACCGTAAAGCTTATGTGGGTTATCGTCCGGTGGCTGCATCAGAGGAAAGCCGACGCCAAAAATGACGCCATCACGTCCACTGTCCTGGATTTCTTCATCGATAATGCTGCCATGAATCATGAACGGCAGCACCTCGCCGGGGAAGAGTATATGCTGATGCATAAATATAAGCATGCGATGTGTGCTGCCGACTTCCAGATAATCCACACCGGGCACACGATTTAGATTTGTGCCAAAATATGAATGCTCCGCCGGCAGATTTGTGTCAAAACGTACGCCTTCCTCCATGTCAACATCCAAGGGTGCTGGCGGTGATTCTGGGGTCTCATCTGGAACAGTATTGATCACATCAGCGTTAGCCTCATCGCTCGCTCTGCCACGAATGCGATCCTGGCTAAAAACCATGCTACGCACGCGCTGCAAAAAGTTTTCACGTCGCAACAGTGTTGCAATACCTCCATCCCGATTGCGCGCCTGGGAGACCAACATGTCTACCGCCGAACGGACACGATTCGCCGGTATCATCCAACGTGGCACGGCCTCCGCATCCGAATCGTCTGTGTGTGAGCATGCAATGTGTGTTATTTAATTGGAATCGTTATGTCCTTTGACCTACCTTCACTGCCGGGACTGTCTAGCGACATGTCACTGCCGCTGTGCCGTGAGCTAATGCTCGCCCTGCTCGGACTGTCATTGGGCAATGAAGCCTGTTCCTCCTGCTGCTCTGGCTGCTCTTCAACCTCAGCAGGCGGTCTCGCATTTTCCGCCAGTGCAGCCGTACCTGGGTCTTCTCTCAGTTCGTTGGCACGACGCATCAGCTCTGTCACATCAACCATTAACTCACTTACCTCCTCGAACATATTGTCCACCTCCTCAATCATATTCTCAAGCCTCGCACGACTATTCACATGGGCCGTTGACACGGCGGCTATTGCACTAACTGCAGCTCCATCTCCACTGCCGTTTTCTGGCATTTCTTGCTGCAGTTGCTCTGGCCCCGACTCTACCTGCATGTCAGCTGCAGCCGAGTTGGTCTCATCGATTTCTGCGCATATTGTTGGCCACATTTTAATGTTTTATTAAGTTGACCGTTAGTTCTTTAGACCTACCTGCAGTCTCTTCGTCATCCATTTTCTCTAAAGTTCAGTTTAGATTGTGTATTTTTTTTCGTTTAGAAAAATTAAAATTTTTTGATTTTCGTGCTGTTTTCTGTGTTATTGATATGTATACAAAGACACAGATGAAGGTTTTCAGACAGGGTTGCCAAGTGTCCCACCCTGTGCGATTAAAATTTTTTTATTATGTTAAAGGCGCCGCATAATTGGTAATGTGATTAAAGAGAATATTCCAAATTTTAAGTAAATAATTCAAAACAGTTTAGTGGTGGATTTTATAATTTTTTTTAAACATATTAATAAAGTTTATGCTCGCACTGCATAGTTGCTTATAGTAGGCTGACAGCTCTAGCAGAACATTAACATTTGTCACCATGTACACCGACCCTTTAACATGATCTTTAACATACAGCGTACATACTAACATATGCTTGGAGTTCAGCTTAAAGCTGCTGCTCAGCGATTCCCAGTCATAGATCAGTTTGAGTTATTTCGCTGTGGCGACTAGACGTAAAAATCGGCAGCAAACCCTTTGACAAAAACCAGATTCCATTGGCTGCGCGCGCCAAAGCAGCCGTCAGAGAGGCGTTTTAATTTGCATATCGAGCCGAAACTAATCAAAACAAGCAAAAATGTTTCAATTGCATTTTTTGTTATTTTGTGCATTGTTTCTGATTGTCATTGGTGTGGGCTGTGCTCAAATTGCATATGTGGAGGATGCGGACATCGATAAGAGGAAAATAAATCTGGAGGTAAACGATCAACGCGACCTTCTCAGTTGATAAGACGAGCAAAATCAACATTAAACACAAGCAAAACCTTATAATTACGCACAATTTCTCTCTCTCCCTCTTTCTTCCTCTCATTCTGTCTCTAGGGCCGCAAGCCGCTTTACTCGCCCGCTCGCTGCGCCCGCTATCAACTCTTGTACCCTGGAGATCAGCTTAATGACTGGATATGCGATTGCGCGCCAGGTGAACGATGACATAATAACAATATTCAATTATAACGCATATACTATCCACTGACAGCGGCGCTTTATCATCCGGAAACCGATGCCTGCTATCCAGCATACAGGCAAGGCCCATGCAATGACACCGAAATGCTGGTGCTGTACAAGGAGAAAATCATACCCGAATGCGTTAGCAATCCCTGTCGTCAGGATGGTCATTTTCTGATACGCGACAAGTGCTTTGAGTTTGGCAACGTCAATAACAGTAACAATCCCTGCCCCAACAAGGAATACACCTATGTGCTGGGCGTCAATCCAAAGACCCTGATGGTCGACTGTGTGCAGCTGTCCATGCAGCTAGAAACGCGCATTTCCGAGCAGGAACCTAACCAACCAGTGGCTCCGCCCGATTACCACATTGAGCTGGCCGAGAAATGCGCACGCGGCAGTCGCCTTTCCATTCAAGGCCGTTGCTCGGCTGCGCCCTGAAAGTGGGTCAAATCAATATACTCAACATGATTTTTAAGTTTTTAGTTTATAGCAACAATAACAACTACTTATATACATGTTAATCGCGAGATGTTCACGAATTTAAACAGGTGATTTGATTTTCCTACGACTCTTTATCTGTTTCGGAGCAGGTTCGTCTGTCACCTCAAGGAGCTCGTCAATGCTTTCATTGCTGATATCATCCTCTTCGACCAGATTGACGCCAACCTCCAAGCTCTGCTCGTCGTTGACTGTTTCCAGCTTAAGCAACGTGTTCTCCATGGACGCCAGAAACGAGCTCTCACTGTATTCCGGCCATTGCCGAAACTGTGTGAATAGAGTCAACATTTGGCTTGGTGTCAGATCACCAAACTGTGTGTATATGTTAATGCCAGGATAATAATTGCGGTTACTCATGCTGGTGCTCTGCATCGTGTACTGCGGCAAGTGCTGTGTGGATTCATCGGCATAGATAGGTGAGACGTCCTCCAAAGCATTCTGATTGATAATCAGTCGTGGTCCGCAGCCGGGTACCCATTTCCTGCACAGAATTCAATTGTTAGGTACATGGCATGAAGCTTTATAGCACACTCACTCTAAATTGGGTATGATGCGATTGCGTCGACTCACAAAATTTTGCTTGATAAAGTACCATAGAGCAGGCAGATCCTGAACTGGACATATTTCATGCAGGTTACGACGCGGCACAAATTTAACTAAATACAAATACTCAGGATTAATGGACCTGACCTTGGCCAATTTGCTGCCTTTGCTTATATTATAGTCGCCCTGTACCGGTAGAAAACTCTCGCGTGGCAACTTGGCTATAAAACGATGCTCGAAGAGTATTTGAAACAGCACCGAGGCGGAGCGATAGATCAAATAACCGATCTCATTCGAGCAGGTCAAGTGCTATAAAAATAGTATAGATAAGGAATTGAAAAGGATATAGCATGTAGCAATACGCACAATATAAATGGGGGGCGGCAGCGCCAGAATCATTTCACAGCGTCCCCAGTTGTAGAGGCTCGTCTGGAATATCAGCGAGTTGATCAAGTGCTTAAAGAACGGATAGGAACCCACGGCGCCAAATACAAGCATATTAACATCTGCAAAAAGAAGCCGTACAGAATAGTTTATCGGTGTGCCAGAAATTAAAGACCCATCCATACACAAAACTGATAAGCAATAAGCTAATCACCTTAAGAAAATCACTTGCCTTCGTTAAATGCGCGCTGTGGTGCGTCGCTTAGCAAATCGACCAGGCGCGTGCCGCTGTCCATCTTATCCATGAAGGCCAGCTTCCATAGTGCAACAAAATCGCCGTGCCGCACCTTGACACGATCCGGATACAACGCATGCAACTCCTGTAGGCGGGGCATAAAGTGTTCCATCGATTCGATCAGAAGGATCTTACGAAACTGTGTTTCCCGGTCGAGCAAATGCTTTGTAAAGTAACCGGGTCCGGGATTCAGCTCCAGCACAGTGTCACATTTGGTTTGTCGCAGATGTGGCTCCAAGCAATCATTGATCTGCTGAGCTATCTGGGCATTGGCCACATACATGTGTGGGGCACTCTTTTGCTTTTTGGTGAGCAGCTTCTCTGGAAATTCGCCGCTATAGCGTGTCACCCGCTCCGCCTGCGCGGCACGCTTAGCCTTGGTGCTTTGATAGCAGTTGCTCAGCTTTTGAATGTTTCTCGCGCTGCACAGCTTGAAGCTGCAGCGCAGCGACATCATTTTAGTTAAGTTATTCAGAGTAAATAAATAATTCTCTTAGAATTTCTGTGCCGTACCAACGGTCTGTTTTTGTTTGTTTACAGCACTCACATCTTTTATGGTCTTCGCAGCACTGCATCGGTAGTTTTCCAACACTTTTTTTGTTGGTTATGTTTACAAATACACCAGTTTTACAGCTGCTTGAGCTTTGGGCAGATAAACCAATAAATTTAATTTAATTGTTAATTAAAATTAAACTATTTCGAAATGGGCAAGGCCATGTCTATGGTGGCACGCAAAGCTAATCGTTTTAATGTAGAGAATCGCGCACATCGCGTGCTAGAACGCGAAAAGCCGACGCCGGCACCAAAATATGAGTCCAATTTGCGCGACATGGAAAGAACATTGGAATGTAAGCAATCCTGCAAGCTGAAATAACATATATGGTACACACCTTGACTTGTTCTCTATTTGTAGTGGATCCCAAATTTGTGGACAAACTCAACATAAAGGACGCTGGCTTGGACACACGACTAAAAGATGTTTATGTAACATCGCAGGATCAATTTGTGGGTTAAACAAAAGTCATGCTACAAGCCAATTAATATAGCCACATTGAAATGTTAATAGATTCAACGCGTTTTGGACCGTCAAGAAGCTACTACCAAAGAAGAACGACCGCTGCCTTTGGAGCGCACCACACCTGAGGATTTTGAGTATGGTTATATGGAACCAACACGCACCTCACAAGGCCGATGCACTCTGCGGCAGGCACTGCAGTTCATCAACGATCATCAGCTAGATCCCGAAGAGTGGACAGCTAAGAAAATAGCGAATGAATACAAAATAAAGGAGTCGCACGTCGGTAAGTTTAGTAAATTTTATCTATATCTGAATGCTAAAGACTAATTCACTTTTCCTGTAGATAATATACTTTACTATTTCAAGACGTTCAGCGTCTATATTCCTGATCAGAAATACAAGGACAAAATGTTGACGCAATCTAAACCAAAACTTATACAGGATAAGCCAAGTATAGTGGACAATGATAGTAAAACTTAGTTAGAATGCATATTCGATAGAATCGATTGTCGTAATAGTTAAAATACTTGTTATTAATTTAAAACTATGTTTTATTTTACAAACTGCGACTGCGCTTCTTATGGATCACACAATGGCATTGGATGGACAGTTATAAACGTTGAGAGACTTGTCTTCTGAAGCTGATATTACTTTATCGTTGCTAGGGCTGTAGCGCACACCCCAGACTTGATCTGTGTGCTCGTTAAAGGTGTGCAGACATTTTCGCTCCGCTGTATCCCAGACTTTTACACTGCGATCACTGGACGAGCTGGCAAAGTGCTTGCCGTCCTCCGAGAAAGAGACGCACAGCACCCAGGAGGCGTGGCCAGATAGTGTACCAACCACATCGGAATGTGCACTAAAATTTGGATAGCTTAAAAATATTCTGTTTGAATGAAAACCAATTAACTTACACATCGTACAGCTTCATGTGTCCATCGTCAGAGCCGGTTAGCAACATTTGGGAGTTGGGCGAAAAGCAAAGGCTGCGCACAGGCATGGCGTGGCCTTCAAGCGTTTGCGCTACTTTGCCAGCAGCCACATCGAAGATGGTAATGATGCCATCAATTGCGCCATTTGCGATGTACTTGCCATCAGGACTCTAAAAATGTAAAAAGTACACTTTATAGTAGTTTTCACCAAGATAAACAATTTGTTTACCCACATATGCAATGCTGAGCGTGTATTTGCCATTTTGGGCATCCAGCACTTGTTCGGCTTTTCCAGTTTCCACGCTGTACATAGAGATCTTACCATCATTTAAGCCAGAAATGACATACTTGTTGCACGGCGAGAATCCCACCGTCCATAAATCAACTGGACCGAATGTTAACATATGTTTCTTATCGCCAGTCCTGGCATTCCAAAGGCACATGCTGGAGTCTAACGAGCTGCTGGCAATTGCTGTGAAATTAACTATTGTACATTATCCTTTGAATTATCGACCAGCGCTTACTTTGACCATCAGAGCTGACGGCAACGGACACGACACCAAGAGCATGGCCCTTTAGCTTGTGTCGCAGTTTCAGTGTATTATCTTCACGTACATCCCATACTTTCACCAGGTCGTCCAGACCCCCGGTCACAATGAAATCTGTTGGTTTTTTCTCTTTTTTGTCAAAATCAAACGGATTTTCTTCCTCTACCACATCCTCCCCCTCGTCACTAGCCGGCTCCGGGTCGCGACCCCAGGCGCATGCCCAGAGTGCATTGTCGTGAGCATTTTCCTCTTTGTGCAACAATGAAAACTAAAAAAACAATTTTTCAGAACTAAGTTTTCTGTTTGCTTGGTATATCACTTACCATTCTTAATGCAAATGCTTAAAACTATATTTTGGCAAAATTAGCTTACGACAGAGTTGCATAGAATAATTCACCAAACGACTCACTAAATTGAACTAAGTCATTAGAGTCGATTTTTGGATCTGGCCCTGGAATCAATTTATCGCATCAATTTATTTTTTTAAGCCCATAAGCAAATAAATTTTATTGCAGAATTGTAAAAAAAAAATGAAATGGTAAAGTGCATACGTTTTTTGATTTCAGCCTTAAATATTTTTGAACATCGAATCATTATCCCACAGTTAGATGATTCCGGTTCCGGAACCAACTTCCAAAAACCGACGCAGAGACCTACGCTAGTTTGACGCACGTAATTCGACCCACATGTTGTAAACAAAACAAAATGCCTACAGCTCAGCCGATAGTAACTGTTGTTCGCGCTGGACGCCAAAGTTACGCAGCTGGACTGCGGTTGCAAGCAGAGCTGGCAAAACAAAATGTTTCGCAGTATGCGGAGTTTCGTAATTTTCTGCTGCTCCTGGAACATGATCCCGTTTACACCATAGGCATACGAACCAAAGGCTACACATCGCAGGACGAGGATCGACTGCGCAAGTTAGGCGCGGATTTCCACCGCACAGATCGTGGCGGCTTGATTACATTTCACGGCCCCGGCCAATTAGTTGCCTATCCAATTGTAAATCTGCGTCAATTCACGCCAAGCATACGCTGGTATGTGGGCACGCTGGAGCACACTGTGATTGAAACCTGCCGTCAAATGGGCATAGCAAATGCGACTACCACGAAAGACACGGGCATTTGGGTGGGCGATCGTAAGATTTGTGCCATCGGCGTACACGGTTCGCGTTACGTCACAACACATGGCATTGGCCTTAACTGTTCCACTGATTTGAAATGGTTCGATCACATTGTGCCCTGCGGAATTGAGGGCAAAGGCGTAACGTCCCTCAGTGAGCAGCTGGGACGGCATATCAGCACATCCGAGGCGACTGACGCGTTGCTGGACAGCTTTGCGCAGACTTTTAAATGTTGTGTGCAAGAACAAACACAGGCACGAGTCACAAATTAACAATATATACCTATGTTTTTGTATATTTTAGTAAAGTATTTAGTTGAACCGAGCTTTGTTTAAGTCGCATTTCTTAGCACGCCCATCACTGGGGATTTTACCGCGCATTTCCATCTCTTGGCGACCCTGCTCTCGCAGTGTCGCTTTTCGCATGCGGCGTTCCTGGCGTGACTCCAGTGCGCCGTTAGCATTAAAATAGCGGTCTCTAAATTCCTGCGCGGACGAAGCAGCGAGTTGTGTGACACTGTCAGTGGGGCTCGCTACATCAATGTACTCCATATGTTTCTCATAAGTAAGTAAACGACGCGCTGTGTTGCCTGTCAGCTGTTGCTCCGAGTTGGCTACTAGGCGCAGATGTGTATGTTGAGGTAGCATTGTTTCGCTGTAGTCCTCGCTGCAAGCAGTTTCAATAAAAAACTTTAATTCGCTTGGATTTGGTGACTAACGTACGCACCGGTGAAAGGGCAGCCAGCAAACAAGTCTTCCGCCCAGTTTTAAGTGTGTTGCGCCAAACTGCAGCAGGTCTGCATATAGATGCTGAAGGGAATAATGTGAGGTTGAGGGATAATGTGCCATGGTTGTCGTTCTTGTATTCTCCTTCGGATTAAACTTATTCTCCACCTTTTCAGTTGCCTCGCGTATTCCATATGGAGCTAACAATAAATAAATAAACTTAATTTCTACTAAATAGTTAGTCAACAATTGGTGTACTCACGATCGGTAATGATGCTATCGAAGGTAATGCGTCTATGCCAGAGTGGATTCGAAAAGTCTGCGACCAACACATCCATGTAGCGATCCGCACAGCCATACTGTTGGAGGTTGGCGCGTATGCTTTCATCTTTGTCGCGCACTTTTTGGGTAATTCGACTGGGCCTGCAGCGTGCATGGACCATCATAAAGTCAATATCAGCGCCTAGGACATAGCCTCCAAATTTCGCGGCACTCACCAACAGCGAGCCAGTGCCCACAAACGGATCAAAAACCAGGTCCCCATCACGCACCATTGCCTGGTTGGCCATAAGAAGACTGAGCTGTGCATCCATGCTGGTGTTGCCAATAAATTTGCGTTGCTTTAGCGAAAGCTGCTTAATTAAATGTCGCTGGCCCTGGGCCATCATGCGTCCAAAGAGAATATCTTCGGGCGTAACAGGCACAGCAGTAGGATCCAAGCCCCAAAACTCCAGATACCACCATTCGACTTGTGGATTCTTAAGATCGACAGTTCCTTCGATTGGCAGATAGTCCATGGTCTCGATCTTTTCAACCTTTTCTTTTTGGCTAAAGTGCTTATTGTATGTTTCAACAGTAATCTTAAAACTTTCCGCTTTGAAAGACTCTTTAAGCGGTTCTTGATGCAAGTCCACGTGAGCTCGTAAACGTCTATGGAATTCAGGTAACGTATGGGCGTGCGAATATAGCTCGATGATAGACCGTAGTGCAATCGATCGGGAGGCGTACTGCAGTGCTGTTTCATCATTGGGAAACTCCACTAGCCAAAAAGGTTTCTATCAAATATTTGTTTTATTAAATGATTTTCAAATCGAGAAGGCGTTGTCAGTTACCAAACGATGTTCCGACAAATTTCGAAATTGTAGGCCAAACAATTTAACAAGTGATTCGAACTCTGCGACGCGAAAGTCAACGTGCTCCTGGGCAAACCAAAGTATATATTTTTTCCATAACTTTGTCATTTTTTCTAAATTGTAAATATTATTATGAGCATTAGCATGTGCATTTGTTGTTTTTTCTTTATTTAGCTGTCAAAATATCGATACTTTCGTATGAACTATCGATTGAACGGATAACGTGCAACTCTGTCAAACGTCAACTCGGTCATTTTGCATAAATTTCGGAGGCACACGTAGGCGAGCTGAAGATTTTTATAAATTTTCTGCTACAGCAAGCCTCATAGCTGCCCAATAATAGTGAAAAATACAAGTTAAAGTGTCAGTGCGTTAAATTGTAATCAAGTTAAAATGGCACGTTACACTCAACGTCCTGAAAATGCTCTGAAACGAGCCAATGGTAAGTGCATGAAAATTTTCCATGCGGCAGCGAATTAGCTGACCAAAGCGAAATGTCAAAAGTGACACGCTCTATTGTGAATGCCAATTTGAAACCGTTTCTTTTCTTTCTCTTTCTATTGTGTAGAATTTATTGAGGTGGGAAAACCTTTGCGTGCCCTGGACACGTTGCAGGAGGTTTTCCGCAACAAGAGGTGGAACTATGCCTACTCGGAGACGGTCATTGAGCCGCTCATGTTCAAGTATCTGTACTTGTGCGTGGAGCTCAAGAAGTCGCATATCGCGAAAGAGGGTCTCTTCCAATACCGTAACATGTTCCAGCTGGTCAATGTGAACTCACTGGAAAATGTGATTCGCGGATACTTAAAGATGGCCGAAGAGCACACTGAGGCGGCTCAGGCGCAATCATCGGCCGCCGTCGCGGTGCTGGAATTGGATGATCTGGACAACATTGCGACACCGGAGAGCATCTTGATGAGCGCCGTTTGCGGCGAAGATGCCCAGGATCGTTCGGATCGCACCATTTTGCTGCCATGGGTCAAATTCTTGTGGGAATCTTACTGCCAATGCTTGGAACTGCTACGCGTCAACACGCATTGCGAAGCACTCTATCATGATATTGCGCGCATGGCCTTCCAGTTCTGCCTGAAGTACAATCGCAAGAGCGAATTTCGGCGCCTGTGCGACAAGCTGCGCAAGCATCTTGAGGACATTTGTAAGAGCAGCAATCAGACAACGGGCGTTTCCATTAACAAGGTCGAAACGCAGCAGCTGTGCCTGGACACTAGGCTCTACCTGTTGGACTCGGCCATTCAGATGGAACTGTGGCAGGAAGCCTACAAGGCAATTGAGGACATTCACGGCCTGATGGCCATGTCCAAGAAGACGCCGGTGCCCAAAACCATGGCCAATTACTATCAGAAACTGGCTATGGTATTTAGCAAGGCTGGTAACCAGCTATTCCATGCAGCCGCTTTGCTCAAACTGTTTCAGTTGACGCGTGAGCTAAAGAAGAACTTGACAAAGGATGATCTGCAGCGTATGGCGGCTCATGTCTTGCTGGCTACGCTGTCGATACCATTGCCTTCAGCGCATCCGGAATTTGATCGGTTTATCGAGGCGGATAAGAGCCCACTTGAAAAGGCACAGAAGCTGGCTGTGTTGCTGGGTCTACCCCAACCACCCACACGTGTCTCCCTAATTCGTGAAGTTGTAAGTAAATTGAATCGAATTGTTGTTAAGTATTGGTTTTACCATTTTCTCATTTAGGTGCGTTTGAATGTGCCGAATCTAGTATCGGACGAGTTCCGAAACTTGTACAACTGGCTCGAGGTGGACTTTAATCCACTCAACCTATGCAAGCGCATTCAGTCTATTGTTGATACCATTGAGAGCAGCGAAACGGAGAATACACTCCTCACACCATACATTCAGTCGCTTAAGGATGTGACTATCATGCGTCTGATTCGCCAAATCTCGCAAGTTTACGAGAGTATAGAGTTCAAACGACTGCTTGAGCTGGCGCCTTTCTGCAACATCTTCGAGCTGGAGAAATTGTTGGTGGAGTCTGTCCGTCACAACGACATGCAGATACGCATCGATCACCAGCGCAACAGCATTTATTTCGGCACCGATCTAACTGAGAGTCAGCGCGAATATCGTCCTGATGGACCGACGTTGCAGTCAATGCCATCAGAGCAGATCCGCTCGCAACTGGTCAACATGTCAACTGTATTGACCCGAGCCGTGTCCATTGTCTATCCGAACCGGGAGCGTGATCAGAGAGCCAAGCTGCGCACCCAAATGGTACAACACTATCATGAGATTAAGGATCGCGAGCATCAGCGCATTCTGCAGCGTCAAAAGATCATTGAAGATCGCAAAGAGTTTATTGAGAAGCAGAACAACGCGCGCGAAGAGGAAGAGGCGCGTCGCCACGAAGAAGAGTCGCGCAAAGCGAAGCTGGCCGAACAGAAGCGACTGGAACAGGAGCAAGAGGAGCGCGAACGCAAGCGTCACGAAAACGAAATCCAGGCCATCAAGGAGAAGAGCCTTAAGGAAAAGGTGCAGCAAATATCGCAGACTGCACATGGCAAGAAAATGCTATCCAAACTGGATGAGGAAGGCATCAAAAAGCTCGATGCTGAGCAGATCGCGATGCGTGAGAGCGAGGAGCTGCAGCGAGAACGTAAGGAGCTGCAGTCTAAGCTTAAGTCGCAAGAGAAGAAGATTGATTACTTTGAGCGTGCCAAACGCATCGAGGAGATACCGCTCTTTGAGAAATATCTGGCCGAGAAAAATGTCAAGGACAAAGAATTTTGGGAGGCCACAGAACAAACTCGCATTGAGAACGCAATTGCCGAACGCAAGGATGCTGTCAGTCAGCAGGATCGCCTTAAGCGCATGTACCCCGATCGCGATGAGTACCTCGATGCACTTAAAAAGGAGCGTGCTTCCCTTTACGTGGAGAAGCTTAAGAAGTTTGACATTGCTCTCGCCGAGGAACGCAAGAAGCGTCTGGCTGATCGTGTGCTGCGTCGTCGGGAGGAACGCCGCCAAGCATATCTACGCGCTAAGGAGGAGGAACGCTTCCGCAAAGAGGAAGAGATACGACATGCTCGCGAAGCTGAGGAGCGCGCCGCAGCCGAAGCACGTCGTTTGGAACGTGAGGCCGAAGATGAGAAACGTCGCCAGCAATACGAAAAACAGCGTGCCAAGGAGGAGGAAGCCGAACGCAAGATCCAGGAAGACCGCGAGCGTCTCGCTCGCGAAGTCGCCGTCGAGCGTGAGCGCAGCGAAAAGGAGCGTGATGTCTGGCGTCCACGTGCCGACCGGGCTGAGCGCCCCAGTGCTGCACCAGCCGGAGGTGCCAGCGAGTGGCGTCGTAATGCTCCTCCAACTGATCGCAATGAGCGCACTGATCGCGGCGATCGTAATGATCGCAATGACCGTAATGATCGTAATGATCGAAATGATCGTAATGATCGCAACGATCGCCCCGAACGTGCAGAGCGTGCAGAGCGCAAGGAGAACGATGGAGGTGCTGATTCGTCTTGGCGTGTGCGCCGCGAACCAGAATCCCAACGTGGACCTGGTGCTGGCATGGATCGTGCTGAGCGTGGTGGCGGCGGTGCTCCATCTGGCCGCGATGACAAGTGGCGTCGTGGTGGTGACCGCTCCGACCGTCTTGGCGGTGACCGCGATCGTGATTCTTTCCGGCGAAACGATGGACCCCGTCGTGACGATGATCGCGGTGGCTTCCGTCGCGATGATCAGCCCCAACGTGAAACAGGCAGCAACTGGCGCGATTCGCCGCGTCAGAACGATCGTGATAATCGCCGTCCGACTGGTGAGAGACGCGATGTGCGCGGTGCTGGACCTAAGGAAGGCGGTGGTGGCGTCAGCGGAGGTGGTGCTGGTGGTGGTGGAAATTGGCGTACTGCTCCATCTCCCCGTGAGGAGAAAGCCCCACCCAAGCGAGAACAGGCACAGGACAAGGGTGAGTTTTGAACAATCCAGTACTCTAAATACTTAAAAATTTATATAAATTTCCTTCCCTTTGCAGAAAATAAAGCCGGCGACGATGGCGAATGGACTAGCGTTAAACGGCGTTAATTATTTATATAAATATCTTCCGCATTGTCGTAAAACACACAGCAGATTAGTCTGTACCCAATTTTTTTAATATAATATATGTACACATAACGTATTCTCATTGAAACGAAATATGCGCTAATCGCCCCGATAACATGATAATGCTTTGGGCAAATTTTTTAAAAGCTCTGCCCTAAAGTCTAAGCAATTCTTTCAAAATATTTATATTCGTATGCCAGTAGCCCGACCTTGTCTCTCTGTCTGTCGAATTAAAGTCCATACTAATAAATCTGAATAGCCACAATTTTCGAGTTTCAACGAAATTATAATTATTTTAAATGGATAGATTTCAGGAATACATCTGGGTATCTCCACAAATAAATAAATTGAAAACTATGATGCGATGTAAACAATCTTTGGAGTTCATACAAAATCGTTGCTTGAGAAATGGAGAATTTTATTCATGCCCATGAAATGCTCGCAAATAAAAATTGGAGCATGTTTTAAATAATGTTTAATATTGCGATTTTGCAACAGACTGAAGACAGAACAGAAATCTGTTAACTTATGGCAGTTTCCCCTTTTATTTACAGTAGCTGTTAATAGCAGTTCAGTTTATGTTATTGAACAGGTCGCTGTTTGAGAAACAGCTGTAAAGAAAAACAGGCAACGGTCACATTCTTCAAATAAAATTATTCCCCGCGGTTCGCGTCCACGTGAACACATTTCAGCAATGTGATTCATAAAGTTATTAGATAAAAATCCTATAAAAACTGTGTAGTGTTTGCTAATAAATTTCAACTTAAATAATAAACAAAAGCAGCAACAAAGTCTTCAAACTTAAATAATTTAAATAATTGAAATAGTGTGTGCGTTGGCGTTGCAGACGCGGCGCTCAACATGTGAGGTTAAAGCAGACAAACAGACAACGGCAACAAATAATTCAAGACAATTTAAAAACATTGATTTACCTATCAATTAGAGCATAGTTAATACAGCATCCTTTAAAGGTAATATATTATTAGTGTTGAAATCAAACATGGACAGGTGCTCCTGCCGTCAGCAAGTGCAAATGATATTAGAGCTAAAACAAAAAAAATTCGCCTGGAACTGTTAGCGATGTGGAGGGCTCGCATTTCGTCGTCTGCCATCTCCTGCCACTTATTTATCATGAAAACAGCTTTCTAAACAAAACGTTTGTGTGTCGTGAGTGTCTGAAATGTGATAGTAAAGTTTAACGAATATCGAATAGATTGTTGTTAAGCATCAGCATACATATGCGTGCACCTACACAGTCGCATATAAATATGTTAAAAGCAAAAGCACATGGTGCGGCGGCGGCACTCACACACACGTGGTCGTGTCATAGCCGCTGTGTGCGTGCGTGCTGTATATGCCTATGTATGTATGTATGTATGTGTGTTGCGGTGTTTGTTGTTATTGTTTTCCGTTATGCCAGTCGTTTTGCTCAGAAATGATTTATGAATTTCCCCAAATATGATCACTAAACGTGTAAATTGTGTCCATTTTAAATACATAAAATACTTAAAAAAAAACATATATAAATGGGAAAGCGGCTTCAATTGCGGCATCTCGAAGGGCAGAAACAACAGCATGTTGCTTGCTAAAAACGTGCCACGCTGCTTTTTGCCATTCCCTTTTGTGCTACTATTTGGTGCATTTTCAGCGTTGCCAACTTGTTAACGTATGCGCGCCTAAATGAAAATGTTATCGATTTCGAAATAACATGCACGTGGGATATATATAGATACGGACATTTTTCGGGTAGACCCTTCTCAGTCGCAATTCAATTATTTACTTTTAATACCAACTTTGGACTGGCTGCCCTTAAAATAATTACCAGAATAATAGTTTGCGTGTTTTAATATTAGTTTGTCATACATATGTTAAAATTTGGAATAGTTTGCTTGTGTATTTTGGTTTGCGTTTGACATATTAAGCAGCATATATCTGCACTGTAACCCTTGGTAACATATAATTATGTACATTGTCATAAATTAAATTAAATTTAAGTATATTTATTTGGTTCCTTTGAGCGTCTTTGGCGACGTGTGGCGATCATATTGTGCTTAGCCCTCATGCGTTGCATCAGCTGCTCGTGATTCTTCTCCAGCTGCTCTAGCTGTTGTTGCAATTTATCAGTCACGCCCGGCTCCAGCACCAAATAATTCTGGACCTGCACGTTCCTAGCTGCCAAATTGTTGAGCTGCGAGGACAATTGCTCGTCGTTCCCGGTCAAGATAAAGTATCCAGTGTTTCCTATAATTTTGGGTGGATATGCATCTACAGGTGCCACTGAGAGCTGCTGGATGGCAGTCGATATGTCCGCCACCTTAGCTGACTGTTTGGGTTTGCTCGCAGGCTTTGAAATTCTTGCACTTTCGTTTGTCCTTACCTTCATTCCTGTGTTAGCTTGAATTTCTGCAAAGATATCTCGTCTTTGTTCTGTCTTGGTTGTGGCATCCAATTGGGCGGACTTTGCTAGTTTGGGCGTTGCAATCTGTCCAGTGGCTTTATCTGCCATGCTTGGCTTACTTTTTTGTTGCTTTGCCTCGTTTTTCTTTATTAGCTGTTCCGTAGCCTTAATTTTTGAGTTCTGCTTGTTGAGTTGTTTTATTTTCTTGAGCACATCCTTCTCCAGCAGCTTCTCCTTTTTCTCCAGCATTTGGATTATGCGCCGCCGAGTCGCTACCGAAGGTGGCTGCGTGGTTTTGCTATCATCTTCAAACTTAGCCTCCACTGGCAGCCCTATTGGGTTATTATCACTAGTGATATTGATATTATTTCGTCCAGGCGACAAGGAGCGCAGATGGTTGAGCGGGAGACGCCTGTTGGCATTCTTGCAGACTTTCTTCTCATTTGCGCGTTTCTTGCCTGCCAAGAGCTGATTTAATACCACTTTGCAGAACTCGCAGCTACAGGTTTTATTTGCCTTATTATCGCTGCCCGGGGCACCACTGAGAGCAGTCTTCACAGTCTCATCCAGTTGAGCGCTTGATAAATTCATCGGTTCGGTCACTTTAGCTGGTGGAGCTTTGTAATTTATCTTTTTGTTGAAAACTTTTGAGAGCTTCTGAATTTTGGTAAATGTTGCCACTGCACGTCGGGTTAAGGACTTGCTGAACGAGCCCTGCTCATTGGGCGCTGCTGGTAGCGGCATGGCGCCCTCTGCTCCATTGGCAACCTGCTTCTGAATATTCTCATCGACGAGCAGGTCGAATACTTTCTTATCCGACTGTGTGGTCTTGTCCTTAACGATAATTGTCACTGTCGTCTTGCCCTCTGGATTTAGTTCGGCTCCCTCTGTTGCTGGCTGCTGCGATTGGGTGGTCTTTAGGCTGTTTGGCTTTGCAGATGGCTGTTTGGTGGCGATTTTGGGCTCCGGCTTGATACCACTGGATGACGGCTTGATATCCAGCGTGCTTGTAGGCAGCGGAACAACATTTCCATTTCCATTCTGAGCCTCCGGCGTAATGCGCGCATTTTTCTCGGATTGGCGCTTGGCCTCTGCCGCCTTGCGCTGACGCCGAGTGATTACCTTTTTGGGCATTACACTCTTTTTAAAAAAAAAAATTAAAAAAATTTGGATATAGTGCTTGAAAAATCGACTGCGCTATGAATTTTTGTTTTCTGCTGCGCTCTTGACGTTGGTCGAATGAACTCACAGATTTTCAGCTATTATATGCTAAAGGAAATTAAATACCAAGCCTACTTGCTAATTGAATTCTTGCGTTTTATTAACTGAAAAGTTGAATTATTACAGTGTGATATTTTACAACAAATTACAACTTATTTTTTTACCTACAATTGCAGACGTACTTTTATGAACTCACCTATTATGGATTCACGCATGCTAAATGTGTTTCACGAGGATCACTACGAGGGGAACTTTGTCAAATATGATCCAGAGTCAAATTTCTGGTCAGCCAATGATGAGTATGTGCTTGCTTTACAAATAAATACCACTTATACTCATGTTTATCTTATAATCCATCAACAGTTTACAACTTACGGACACGCTGAATGGCATTCTGCCCATTGCGCCCACAGATGAATCGCTGCTCAGTCCAAATGAGGCCGAGGAGCAGCTGCAGAATAGAAAAAACTTGGTAATGTCTGGAATATCCATTTAATCGAATTACTCTAATTAACATGTTTGCGCCCGCAGCTCATCTATAGCGACTTTGTGGAGCAAGAGCTAAGCGACGATGCAAACGGACTCAATGGTCAGGTCTATAGGGCCATCACAGACTGCGAGGCCGAGGCGGCCTTTGAGCAGCAGCGTCAGCTCAGCGCACTTATCGATTCTGATGACGAGCACGCCGGTCGACAGGCCGAGGACGATGATATACTGAGCCAGTGCAGCAATTCCACATTTCGCACACGCACCGACAGCTCTTCAATAGGAGATTATGAGTCACATTCTAGCGATTACGATGAGATTGATGAACGCCTGCTGCCTGTTGAAGCATTTCCATTGCAGGAGGAGCGCAAACAACGCACAATTAGCACAAACACTCTCTACTCTGAATCGGATGCTCTGGGACTGAATATTGATGTGAACAATTTTGATTTGGCTGAATTTATCACAAAAGATGATTTTGCCGATAATATAAATGCACTGTCTACGAAGAATGTCCACCATGTAAAACCTATGGTAGACGCAGCATGTCCAATAAATTTACAAACAGCTTTAGTAGAGCCCAAGAAACAACAAGTAATTGCAGCTGAGAGGCCAGTCGCAGTGCTGCCGAAGCCTGTGATTATATCATCCAAGAGTCGTGATTCCGATTATGACTCGGACTCAATTATCGATGTAGAGACCGTCGATGTGATCGATGTAGATGAGTCTTTGTGGGTGGCCCAACAAATTGAAGAGCCCGCCGCCACAGAAGATTTGTGCTATGTGGACAATGTAAAGGCCGATCCATCCTGGTGTCCCAAGCAGGCCAAACGTTCAGTTACCGCTGAGGTGAGTACAAACAGGTGTGCGATAAACATTTTGAAGCATGTTAATCATTCTTCAAATGATGTCTCCACATAGCACAAAGCAGCTTCAGCTCACAATCAAAACGCAGCCAAGACAGCGAGCGTTGAAGTTCCTCCTCCAGCAATACAAGCAGTGACAGCACCAACTTCCCAAGCAGCCGCTGTCAAAGCGAAGCCAAAGGTGAGCCACAACATTTGCCTGGTGCCCAACAAAAAGCAATGTGACTTTCTAAAGCGCAAAGTGGGCGCCAAGGCAGCAGGCACAGTCACGACCAGCAAGTCCAAAGTCTCGACTAAGAAAACTCAAGAGGCTACCAAATCGCCAGCTTGCAGACAGCAGCCTTTGACAAGGCCAACGGAGTCGCAACCAATTAATACGGGTCTTGGTCTGGGCGGCAAGAATTTGGCGCTGTTAAAGCATGAACGTGATGCGGCGGCTACCTCGCTCAGCTCAGCTCAGGCAGCAACGACTGCGCCCAAACGCAAGCTCAATCTAGAGGAGTACAAACAACGGCGCTGCGGTGCAGTTTTACCCACCAAACAGCCGTCAGCGTCGGCTTCCACGCCGGCCAAGCAAGCTAAAGTGGAGCCTTGCAAAGTGCTTCCACCATCACTTGTTCAAAAGGCACAAAAGTCGCCGCAGAAAGCAGCCATCAGCAGCATTGTGAACAGTCTGAAGTGTCCGTCGAGCCAGGTAGCAGTTGCCACGGATCCCATAACCGTGGCCAAGAATAAGGTTCTACGCATGCTGGAGATGAAACGAGCACAGCAGCTAAAGATTATCGATTCGCGGGTGACAGCTAAGGTGCCAAGGGTGACGAAATTGCCGCCGCTCAAGGATATTGTTAAGGACACATACTGCATGGAGACTGAACCGAAGGCGGAGCCAGCACAAACGGCACAGATAGTGCCCAGCAGTAAGATGCAGGCGGACTATGAAGAGATTATTATTGTTTCGGTTAGCTGCAACACGGATATTACGATACCGCCGCATCAAGCGAGCGTTGCGCTTAGGGACAACAGGACAACAACACCCTCATCGCGCTCACTGTTAAAATCGTCTGTGCTGCTGTACAACATCTCCAATGGCAGCGAGGCGGGCAAGGACATGACCAACTCGCTGATTGCCAGTATACAGAGTGAGGTTGTGAAGCAAACGAATTGCGAAGCGCTGACTACACCGACAGCAAAAGCGACGACAGCAGTAGATCAGAATGCACAGCATGGCGAGGATATGGTCATCATGCATCTGCCCAAGAATCGAACTCGTAAGCCTATGGCCAGCATGGGCACACAAACTGAACTGCAACCCGAATTTCCATTGCTGACCTTGCCCACGACGAGACAATCGCGTGAGCGAACGCGTCGTGCCTATCACAAACGTCGCACCGATGATTCCGCTTCGAATGACTCGAGCTGCAGCTCCTCCTCGTCCTCAACTTGTAGCAGTCTCGCGTCGTATCGTTCACGTTCTAATTCAAATTCAATTGAACGTTTGCGGCACTCGGATGCGACGCCGGCCTGTGGCAGCAGTATTGGCGGTGGCGGCTACTCTTCGCGCAGCACACGACGCCATCGAAGCTCGGTAAGTTCCTCGTCCTACTCGGAGGCCGGCAAATACGAACGCCAGCAGCGACAACGCCGCACTAGCTATAACAAGCGGCGCTCGAAAAATCAGACACGTGACAATTGCTCTACCTCGGGATCAGAGTACACCGATCGTGAGCGAAGTCGCAGTCCACATAGACGCTCGCGTTCGCGCTCCACATCAGCTACGCGGTATGGCAACAATAACAACAACAGACGTGGCTATGTCGATCGTAATGTATCACAGCCAGCTGTTGAGGAGCGCCGTATCGTTTATGTGGGCCGCATTGAGCCGGATACCACCAAGGAGTTGTTGCGTCGCAAATTTTTGCCCTATGGCAGCATCAAACAAATAACCATACACTACAAGGAGAATGGGTAAGTTATCAGGATAACGAACAGTTAATATCTGATACTAATTCAACTCCTTAAAATCGAACAGAATGAAGTATGGCTTTGTGACCTTTGAACGTGCGCAGGACGCTTTCACGGCAATCGACACAAGTGCCAAAGATGCGCAAATCAACATGTATGACATTAGCTTTGGCGGACGACGCGCATTCTGTCGCGCCTCCTATGCAGATTTGGGTGAGTTGAGATCTAGTTAATTTATTTGACTATGAGTTACATTTGATTATAATTCCATTACAAAACTTACAGACAATGCGGGCATCAACAACTACCATTCGTATGTGTTTCCTAAGGCAGCGCCAGCTGCACCACAGCAGGAGGATTCCTTTGAAGCCCTGTTGCTGAAAGTGAAGGCAAAGTTAAATGCAGGCAAGCCGTCAGTAGCTACAGTTCCGACAACCCCAGCTGCCACGGAAGCAGCGACAGTTGCCACAGCAGATTGCAAGAGCAAAAATAACGATTCGGTCATAGGTCAAATTTGACATCTTTATTATAATTTGCAAATGGATTTACTTTTATATTTATGATTTGCCAGCCAACATCATTTTCAGTTTCAACCTAATATCCCTATATTATTTTTATGTACATATATATGTATAGAGCATGAAGTTTCTAACTGTCCAACCGAAAGCCTGATTAACATTCATAAAAGTTTCATTATTTATTGTAAACTAGTTGACAATAGCATTGCAAACCACACAAAACCCGTGCCACTCCTGACAGTGGGCGGTGTTTTCAATTTACAGCGAATTGATAGCAAATATGGAAATTATTAAATGGAATTGTGATAAAAAATACAAAGTCATTGATTGCATGTAAGTTAGCTGAAGCCACAGACAGCAATTAATATTGTAAAAAATAAAGAGGAATATAAATTAAAAATTTATTGAAAATTGAAGTTTATAGCCATAACGTAACAATCGAAGCAGCAACCACACAAGCACAGACAGCAAATAGTTAAATACTTACAACATGCAACAACTATATAAAATATACAAATAATATATAATGTATTAACTGTATAGTGCTATATAGAGAGAGAGCAAGGCACGCGCATGCTGCATGCGACGGTCACAAATTAAACTGTTGATAACAAAACTTTGATATTAGTTTGTAAAAGGAATATTTTGTACGTACGTAATTTTAATTTACTGGATATGATTTTTTTTGTATAGCAATGAACCAATCAACAAACCACAAACAAAATAAATGCTGCCTTGAATAATCATTATACCTGTCCATAAATATGACAGATGATACAACAACAGCAGCAACAACAACAACAAATTAATATTTATAATTTAGCTTACATTTGTCTAATTTCGTATGAATTAGTAATTGTTAACTATTAAAAATATTTGTATAAAATCTGGCTGGATCAGCCATAATATACAGGCGCCGGAGCCTCAGGCCCAGCTATTCAACTAATGTACTTTCTCTTCGTTAATTGCAACTGCCCATACAGAGAACAAATTTATTTGTTTGTTAGCATAAAACAAAATTCTTATAAAGATGAAAAATTCATTTCCTGATTAAGTTAACTCAACTATGTAATTAGGTGAAAACAAATTTTGTTTAAGTTCTTTTGTACTACTCTTTTTGGATAATTAATAAATGCGTTAGTTGCAGCATATTGAAATTGAAGATGTTTAACTACTCTTTCAAAATGAATTAAACTAGCTGCAGCAGGTCAACATTTGCTTGCAAAAATGTTGTGCACTAAATGTTCTCCAAAGTCTTTTGCATAATATCAAAAAAATAAGTGCAAAACTTTCAAAGTCTTTTTATGGGGAAAAATGTCTGGCAATACGTTAAAGTAACTGCAGCAGGTCAACATTTGCTATATTTAGTTCAAAAGAAGCTCCTACACACTTGCAAAATGTTGTGCACTAAACAATCTCCAGAGTCTTTTGCATAATATTAAAAAAAAACGAGAAATTAAGTAAATATTTGGCACGCCGATGATTTAATACACTTTTTGTCAGCTGCCCTATGAGAAGAGTGATGCCTCGTAAAAGCTGAGGTTTATGAAAAACAGTATTTTTCATTCTTGGGAATTTGTCTAGGTATCTTGAAAAACAAAGAAAGTTTTCCCAACAAGAACCTTCTTTCGACCGATCTTAACTATGGCAGCTATATGGTGTAATTGTCCGATGTTAAAAGGATATATTAAATGCGGAGCTTGCTCAAGAAATTTGGATAAGCAAAAACATTTTCCATATCCTTCCTATAGCAGCTATATGACATAGTCGCCCGATTCATTTCGACATACGAACTGCCTGCAAGAGAAAAACGGACGGCAAAGTTTCAAGATGAAAGCTTTAAACCTGAAAGACTAGTTCGCATAGCAGTAGACAGACGAATGCTGACATATTAGGGTTGAACTTTCTTCTTCTACACATTTTATGACACAATTTGATACCCTCTATAAAAGTTTATTAAATGCAAGGCTTGTAGGGAAAAGATCAACTTTTGACAGGGCTTATTGTTTACATGAAAATTACGTTTTAGTTGACAGTAAAGGTCCATATATTTTTCTACCCCTGGAGAGGGGTCACGAAATGTGTAGTCAGTCTAGTTTACTTGCTGTTTAAATAATTGCAAACTCTTTGATTATTTTTTTAAGCTGACTACATAGAATTTGGCCCTGAGGTCCGTCAGAACGGACAGCTATTCCAAATGGTTGCCACAGGAACAGTTCGTCGAAAATGGAGACAATGCACATGTGCCACGTGTATCCAAGGGTATTAAATGTTTGGCTTTCTGTGCTTAAGCAAAGAGTTTTAAAATAGTTTTATACGGAATATGTGTGAGCCGTGCAAGCAACGTTCGCTTTAACCAGTCAGTTGCTCCAGGCTATTTGGCAACATGTGTAACTGTTTGCAGTATGTTGCATTTTTTTCACATGATAAAACAAATCCTTCATCTACTTTTACAAGGACTTTGCTAAGCTTACCGTTTGGCTGCTGCCGTTCAACGAGTTCCCTCGACAATAAGTCAGCTTTAAACTAAATCCGGTTATCCTCAAGGCAGTCCTCTTGGACCCTTACTCTTTACTCTTTTTATAAACGATCTCCCCTCGGTTATATCACATGGCTGTGTACTTATGTATGCGGACGATGTGAAACTTCATCTTTCATACACTAATTCCCTTAATCACTCTCGTCTACAAGATGGTGTTAGGCCAATCAATTGCATCTAAATTGTTCAAAGTGAACACCTCATCTTGTCAGTTATACAATCGACTCCATTGCAACTTATACTAACAGTTAAGGACCTAGGCGTTCTTTTTGAATCTAAGCTCTGCTTCAATCTTCATATAGCTTCCATCGGATCCTTTCTTAACAAAACTCCTACACATCTCTCTCTTTCGCCCTATCCTTGAATACTGAATACACTGAACCTTCTTTCCCACTAATAAAATCGTTGCTTTCAGGATAACTTCGGGAACGCACTGACCATTCCCAGGTATAAGTAGGGGAATATCTTTCCCCCCACTATCTCTTTAACCTATCTACATAACACTCTGTACATTTTTTTACTTTATTAATTCTTCTTTCTTTATTTTTTCCCATTTATTGTGTTTTCATAAATAACATAACACAATTAAGATAACTTATAATTTTTACTTAAGAACGATATTTTCTCTACTTACACCTTTCTTCTTAACTGTACGCTCTTACAAACGTGCACTTTCATCAGATAAGGTAACTAAAGTGAAAAATACAAGTTGCATACAAGATTTAAAAACCTCATATTAAAATGTATGACAATTGAAATCGCTGATGTGCAAGATTTTTCATTAAATATCCTGCTAAAATACCAGGATAACAAAAATCGACAAAAATTCAACAATTACAAAATTCTGCTGCGTGCTTTCAGGCGCAGCAATTGCAAGCGGTGCGCATATTTCCACATAAACCATTTACATTTTAACCAAATTAGCTTAAAACGGGATAAAAAGGGGTTATATAACAATTCTCGCAAAAATTGTCAAGTACCTGATTGAGATAATACAATATAATTTAATATAATATAATATAATATAATATAATATAAAATAATATAATACAATATAATATAATAAAATATAATATAAAATAATATAATATTATATAATATAATTTAATGTAAAATAATATAATACAATATAATAAAATATAATATAATATAAATATTAATTATTGCTGTTAATTAAACAAGCTAGGTGGAAATGAGATTTATGTTTGGAGGTAAGATAAATCACGGTAAATATATGTATATGGTATATGATATAATATAAAATTATTTTCGGATTTGCACTCTGTTGTTGTTAATACCTTATATTTGTTTTGTACATGGTTGAATCTGAAATAATTTTTTGTGTTTTTTTTTTTTTGTTAGGCCATAAATATTTATAGCCCGACAGGCACAGTTGCTGTCAAAATACATTAAGTTTGCCAACGTTAAATTGCTCATTAATTTTGTTATAAAGCATCGCATTCCTATAGAGATAGCATATTACATTGCCATCAATAATACCTACGCATATTTATATAATATAGCGTCACTTCAAAATATTTTCATTATTTCACTTTTGCGCCTGGAGACTCGCAACGAGTTTGCCAGTGTCGGTTTCCAGTCAGCAGTCGCAGTCAAAATCGATAAAAAAAAAGAAGAAAATTAAAGAAAAAAAAGTAAAATCATATTCAGTCGAGCAAAGGATACATCAACAAAATGGCAACCGTTGTTGGCGCCATTTACCGACGCCCAAGGCCCAAGGACCCACGCCCAACGCCCAGCGCCCATTTGCATATTTAATTTGTGATGTCAAAGAAATCACAACGTTTTGCCTGCCCCGACCATATTATGCCGCCATGAATACGCGTCTTTAAACAAGCTCTAATGACTATAGTTCGAGGACCCGGCTTGAGCATGATGCGAGTGCAGGCCCTCGCCTCAATTCCTGTTCGTGCGGTGGATTTCATTAAAAATTTTACATAAATTCACACTATTCCTGATGCCTTTGTTTCTTATGGTGCTTGGCTCTTTGTGCAATTGATGATGCTCATGTGTGCCACACTTGAGCCCAAGTTATGTGACAGTGACAGTGGCAGCCATCAAAATGCACACGATGTGACTTCACTCACATTCTTAACATCCTGCCAGTTAGCGTTGTCCTTGCCGTTGTCGTCATTAACGTAATTTCTGTCTCGTGCTCATATTTGCGAGCTTTCATACCCTTGTAGAGGGTATTCTAATTTTGTTATGAAATATGCAACGCTATACTCTCTTTCTATGCGATCCAGTCTCTAAGCTTTAAAGTCTTCGTCTTGAATAGTCCGTCCATAGGTCCGTCTTTCTCTTGAAGGCAGTATTAATGTTAGAACTGGGCACACTATATTGTATATATGCCATAGGAAAGATCTGTCAAAAAGGCGGTTCTTATATGGAAAACATTTTTGTTTGACAACATTTGTCGATCAAACCTGACATGCAATATTTAAACTATGCTACTTGTATGTGAGCCAAACATCGTATCAAGATTACACGACTATATCATGTATCTCTCTAGGAAAAATCTGTTGAAAAATTAGATTTTGTTTCTTATACATCTGCAAAACCGCAAGGCTAATATCTACAAGGGTATTAGATATTCGGAATGTCAAGGTTATTCGTACTTTCTCGCATATTTCTTCTAATGAGGGCGGCGTTTTGAATGCATGTTAAGCTTAAGGGCTATTTAGCAGCTACTTTTTTGATCCTGATTTAAAACTGATTCTCTATCATTTGCTTGCCTTTGACTTGAATTTAAAATAATTAAAAATAATTTCTATAATTTTAATATGCTCCTTTTCAGCTGCTGCTACTCTTTACATTTGGCCTCCCAAATACTCTCGTTAGCTTTTCCAGTCAACAGGTTGGTTCGCCTGACAACAACTTCAAAAGCTTGAAGCAAACCCAACTGAGTTGCAGCTTTCTTCAGCCCGGTGGCGGCTGTGGCATTGCCTCCACCTGCTCGACACATAATAAGGACACCGAGGCAACAGTGAAGCCATGCGAGTGCCCCATACGGGTACTGGCTGAGTATAGAGACGTTGTCGACATATTTTGGTCCTAACTATGGTTACCCTTTTGAGGATGTCCTTTTGAGCGCAACTCCTGTGCGGACGAATATGTCCTGTCGATGTATGTGGTCTGTGGTGAGCATTAATGTATTGTGCGTTATTATTGTCGGATTTAGTGTGCGCCCAGTCGACCAATAATGCAAAACAACTGAGTAGACAAAAGTAAACTGTGAGAGTATGCAAGACTGGAAGATACTCTGTGCTCCGAAGATTTTAAAAAGGCGTTCCTTTAAATGTAAGAGTATGAAAACTAATATGTCAAGATCTTATTCAAAAAGAGAAATTGGAGAAACATGAATCGTTTTGTTTTTTAATACAAAAAATAGCTGGAATGATTCCTTATTCTAGGCGTTCACAAAAGCTTGTTAACGCTTAAAGCAGCACAATTTGGGCCAAGTTAAAGGTTTCAGTTGCTATGGAAAGTTTTTTGTAGTTTTTGTTTTGGCACGCAATTAAATGAGGCGTGTCGACCTTTGCGCTGCTTGGCTCAATGTCAACTAATGACC